AAAAGAATAAATTAAATAACAGAACTAAACAATGGATATATGTTAAAACCGAATCAAACCACAATGCTGCGCCCAGTATCAAAAAGTGTATTATAAACCAGATGTGTATTCTAAATACCCCAAATTACTTTTCCCTCTTCTAAAGGTTCGCGTAAGTTGATTAGGGGAGAGCCGTGTGGGGTCTGTTGGATGAAGGACGATCGGAATTAGGTCGCACAGATGGAGGTCGAAGCGAGTGAGCATGTCCAGAGACAGGTCTGGGAGCAGTGTCTGCCTGGGGGTTAAATTGCAATGGAGGAACTATATCATTGTCAGTCTCCTTTATTTTCAGAGAAAATGCAGGGGAGAACTTACTACTGAATCCGTAGCCATGGGCAGCCCCGTCCCGGTTCTGCGGGTCGATTTCCACCTTGATGGATACATCCAGACCACCATACATGTCACTGAAACCGATGCCATCAGCAGCCGGGTGCGCGGTACCAACATTCTCCTCACCTCTATGCAGCGGCGAGTGTCCATCCTTGGGCGTCTGCTTTGGTGCGTAGCCATTCGTAGCTCCGGATGCCTCGGGGTTCATGGGCAGAGCATCGTTTTCAGTGATACAGGCGAAATTCCGCGACGGCATCGTCGTCTTGTTCCAGGATGCGCTCTTTTCCACACCGCCGGGCTGTTGATCGAAGAAGTCCATCATTGTTTCGTCGGTGTAGTCATCGAGATGGTGAAGCTTGTTTCTCTGAGCTAACAGGTTTGCCACTGCTTTAGGAGGCGGCTTATTGGTGATAGCACTGCTGACAATGTTCACGATGAACCGGTGGTCGTGACCGGTTGGGACACCCAGCTTGGGTTTCGAATAGAATCGACCAATGGCTGCCAGATGAACGTCACCACCCAGGATCGTCACTCGAACCGAATGAACCTTGGCAAAGTCTTGGAGACGGTTGATGAACATCTTTCGTTCCTTCTTGTGCTGACGAGCCGTGTAATGATCATCCAAGTCGTCCAACAGATCGACTTGACCGTCGAACTGGTTGAACAGACCGCCCGCGAATCCGAAACGCTTGTTCAATAGACGGATAGGTGCAATAACAGGGGAGCTCAGAATATTCTCCAACCATGCCAGACGGGGATAGGCAATGGGGACTCCCAGAAGAACCACCAAATGCTTGATATCGCCGTTGGCCGCGGCGACCTCTTGTTCGAGACGGTTGAAAATGAGGTCATAGGTATCTTCATAATTGACCTGGTGACGGGTCCGTTCTGTGCGCGCATCCACGCCGATAAACGCGATCCGTCTACCTAGACGCATGTACAGATTTCGGCTTTTCTCCTCCACGTACGGACCGGGACGCTTACCAACGATCCAGCTGTCATCCTCTGCTTGGTCCTCCAAGACATATGTGTTTTCCAGCTGCCGCGGGTCTGCACCTGCGGTGCCGTTGACAGCGCTCATGGTTTGGGGAGCATCCGTCGTGTACGTGGACAGCGGCGGAGCGATGTGATGCTGGAACAAGCAGTAGTACTTGAAAGCCACACCGCCGATGCCCCGGAAAACGGAGCAGCGCATGAAGTGGTCCGTGTAGGAGCCAAAGCCATCAATGATGTCGTGGTCGTCCCAGATGTTGATCTGAGGGATCATCCCGTTGACAGTCCTGAAGGGCTCCGTGTTGTACCAGCGGACGTAGTTAGCGTAGTAATAGTCATCACAGCGGGCTCGCATGTCATTGTTGAAATCGTGGGCACGCCGCTTATGAGGATTGCCAATTGAGGTCCACTCCTTGAGAGGACCGTCCACACGGATCCCATCGTTGTAGAGTTGGTCACCACCACCAATCATGACATGGAACGGTTTGCTTTCATGCACCCGGAGCACTTCCTTCCACAAGGTGGGGCCGACCCAGGCATCCATGTCCGTACCAACTGAGAAGCCATTGCAGGAGTGAAACATCTGGCGCATTGACTGGTTCAGTGCGGGAACCACAAAGTTCCAGGGCGAGTTGACCGGGCCCCCCTCGACATTTTGCAGACCCGGAATGTCATATTCCCAACGAGCCTCGTAATTTTCGACGGGGATAGCGATTGAAAACCGCCAGAAAGCCTTTCCTAGGTCTTCATAGAGACGTAGTCCTTCAATGACCATCCCTTGCTGGGTCGGCACGTTCCCTCTGTTGACCTGAGCATTATGGATGTCCCCGACGGGATTCGCTTGGCGCAAGTGAAGCTGCGGCGGCTGAGGCTGACCAGGCTTCGTTACAATCAATACACTACCATGCCAAATCGCAGACGAGGGTTCCATGTGCATGTTCTTGAAGTTGATCAGAGGACCGGAAATCACGTCAACGTGCGGCACGCCATTCTGGATCGGGACACCTGCGCACGAGGTACACATACATTAGCATCATGATACGAATAATTCGACATATCAATTTCGCGCGCGCGTGTAGTGGTCACTTACCTTGGACCCCTGGATAGGATTCCGTCATCGTTCTGCAATTCTCCGGCTAAGTCAATATATGCACAAGAAGGACAGAAATGGCAGAAGCAATCATAGAGCAAATGCCACCCTCTTATTATTTGTCTCCCTCCTGTTCTATCGAGGGGGAGAAAATAAATAGTCTCTCGAGGCACGGATTAGTCACGGATCCCCAGGGGTTAGTGACTGTGATAGTCCGCGCGGGAGGGAAATTGCGAGACGCGATAAGGGAACAATAACCAGGGAAAGTGTATACGGAGTACAATAGAGACAGGTGGAAAGAGAGAGACACGGGGAGACAGAAAGAAAAAAGGAAAGACTGAGGAATGAGAGAACGAGCGAAAGTCAGCAACAGCGGAAATTAGCAGTAGGGCTGACCAAAACAGGAGAGCTGCTATCTTGGGTTAGCGCCGTGACTTATCTTGGCAATGACAGGGAGTGGTGAGGCAATTGACCAATCGAAAATGCTGTAGTAGTAAACCAGCTCCATTTTGAGCCACGTAACGCCACAAGACAGCCACTGATTGGACTGAGAGCCGCAGTGGCGCAGCTAGCATGCAACATATTACGTATAATAATGCATAAATGTGCATAATGTAATTATGCCAGGAACATGACATATATAACCACCTCCTTCCAGAAAGAGTCAGAATGCCTCTTACTATCTATCAGACTATTCTCTACTAAAGATCATACTACTATGTCCACTAGCGCCATCGAAATAGAAAAAAAAAAAAAAGCACTAATTTCATTATGCCCTGTTCTCTGTATTCCAACACTTGCCATAGAACATCCTAGTTACAGAATCGACCAGCTTTCCAGATTCTGTGTATTTGTGCAAATTCTTTTCAAATTTTCCTCCTACTTTCTTTCCCTCATTATTTCCTGCAGTTTAGCTCAATCCAGTTGTACTCAATGACAAAAAAAAAAAAAAAAAAAAAAAAAAAAAAAAAAAGCGTTCAGACGAGACCAAGCTCAAGCCTCAACCAGGACTCATACAAAAAGAGAAGGGAATGTTCAACGGCGACGCAAAATCTTGCAAACTGCCACCAAGGTCCAGGATGAAATCAACAAAAAAATTGCGAAAGATCGAACGAAAACAGATTCAAAGAGATGAATGGAGAAGATTCAACGACAGCAAAATAACAGCAAAAATGAGTGTGGGAAGATATCGTATCCTGACAAAAAGGGGGTCGAAAAGGAACCTGAACGGAACACCAGGGACAAAAGACCAGAGACCAGAGGAGAAACAAAAGGAAAGACAAACAGAGCAAAATTGGACAAAAGAAAGATAAGAGAACAGTTAATCAAGGATAGGGCTCGGGAGAAGACGACGAACAGGAGCGGTTGGTCCTCCATCCTCTTTGTTATTATCCTCACCGTGAACCAAAAGACTCCAATCGTCGTTGTCGAAACCCGACTGCGGCGCAATAGATAACAAACCCAAAGTGTCTTTCACCATGCAATTTCCCATTTCCGTCAGCAGAGCGCCAAACCGTCGCTGATTCTCCAACGTATCCAAATCTGGCTGTCCCTGGACAATGTCAAGGACGTTATTCAAAAGGTGCAAGAGAGACATGTGATTGTACTCGGTGACTTCGAGACTATCATCTTGTACAGGAGCCGAGTGGACAACAGTAGGGGAGCCGGGGCTCATTTCGAACTCATCAAAATTCAATTCACCCCAGAGTGGTGTCAACGGGACCTGTAGAAGCTCTTTGAGGAGAGCGTCAGCTTGACTCTTGTCTGCATTATCCAACATCTCCTGGAACGCTCTCTTCTGCCTCTCTCTATGTTCGTTTTGATCAAAAGGGACAAACACGTCCTTCAGACGGCGTTCATTTCTAGCCCGACGCTTCCTAGCGTCATTGTCACGGATTTTCTTGCACGTGTCGATTCCGGGAGCATGCCATTTCTTGCCACGAAGGCTTCCCTCCTCGATCGACTTGTTGTATATGAAGAGGTCATTGAGGTACCGGTCGAAGTGCACCTTGTGGGAAAACTTCTCCATGGAAAGGCCTTCGCCGACAGCAAACCACGCCCGATACGAAGCACGTTGCAAGGTGAGACGGATCTCTTCCATGACTCCCTCCAATCCAGACTTGAAGATCTCAATATCTTCATATGTTGTCTCTGGGATGAGGGCTTCCGCAAAATCAACGGCAAACTGACAGAACGAGTACGCAACGACAAGCTCCATACCGGGATCGTCGTGTGCCACGTACGAAGTTGTGCAGCGAGAATTGGTGCTCAAAAATTCAAGTCGACGGTATCGTTGTTCCAAGGCCGTTTTCATAACGTCAATAATTTCGACGATTGGGACGCAGTAGATGATGATGCCCTCGGTCCATACGCACTCGATGTTACGCAGGTCCTCAGGCACCCAGGCGAAGTGACGAGCACAGAAAGTTCTCAGGTGCCAATCGTATTCCAGCACGTACGCAGCACCATTGAATTGAATGTGGTGTTCGGGGACAGGCAAAGCCGCAAAGAGAACGCTGGGTTCTGGGCCGACGAAGTCAGGGTCGAATGTGTCGTCTTCGAACATCTCATCATAGTAGAGGGAGCGGCATTCAACACCATCACGCAACAGAGTACCATTACGCCGCGCAGCGAGGTCTTTCTTGCCCTCAATCTGAAGCAGGTACAAGTGGTAGTCAACGATGTGCCAAGGGTGGATGACACGAGCAGCGAAGGCTGCTACACTGAAGGAATCATTCACCTCTTGCACTTGGGTCTTCGATAATTCCCTGTTCTTGAACAGGTCACTAACCACCTCGCCGTTCGAGTCCTTGTCCTTGTCTTCGACGACCTGTTCGTCCCGAGGCTGAGAAGAAGCAGGCTTGTCCTGACCCCCACCCAAAGATTCAACTTCCTCCTCGCTCTCAGAGATGAGAAAAGTATCTTTGCAGGAGGACGAGCTATCTTCGACGGACTCAGGCTCTTGAGACCCCATGATAGCTTGTCGGCTCCTCTTCATCTTGAAAATAAAAGCCATGGGGTCGACAGGTCGACGAGAGCGAACCCTCATTCGAGGGATAATATCCTCGCCAGTGACGTGATTGACGTTGTTGTTGTTGTTGTTGTTGTTGTTGTTGTTGTTTTTGTTGTGCTGAGAAGTCCCCTGGCTCATGGTGACTTGACGAGCAAGACCGAAGATGGGACGCGTATGGTATGGAACTACAAGAGATAACAAGAAAGGTAGGGTTACGACCAAGCGAGTTGTTGGAAGCCAAAAGTAAAAGACGAAAAGTGGTTGCTGGGGGGAAAAACAAAGAATATATGATCAGAAGTCGAGCTATGAGAGCTGGGAGAAGAAAAGAAAATAACGAGAATTGTGTGCGAGAAAAGAGGAGGCGAAGCAGAAAATTGACAAAAAGGGACATCAACAACGCGAGAAACGCCTCTTTTATAAAACATGGTGGCGTGTTTTGTCTGTGAATGAATGATGGCAACCAGATAAGTATGCCTAGCCATAGGTGATAATGAGAGAGCCCTAGGGACATTTGCATTGTCTACAACATACAAGAATGAAAAGAACTACAGCCCTATGGTATTCTCACTTACCTGAGACTATCTGATTATTTGAAAAATTTTCAAGAAAGTTAAGCTAGTCACAGGGTCTGGGTCTGGGTCCTTTTGAAGTCGCATTGCTTATTTGGGACAATGTATGGTCCCGCAATATAAACAATGCCTAAGGCAACATGGGTCTTTGTCTTGTTTGTTTCGAAAAATAAAGAGCGAAAAATAGAGAAAAAAAAAAAAAAAGAACATGGAAGTTCCCTTGAGCATGGTATTTACAATATGTCTTTGTTTCAACGGCTCTTTGAATATCGCACAGCCCTAAGTCGAAGAGAAGGGAGAATCCCATTACCCTTGAGATTTAGCACAATTTTAATTGTCCGATTTCTTTCGTGCTTCTATATTATTAGAATATTTAATTGCTTGTTGAATTAATATATCGAAGCGATTTATTAGTTCTTTTATGGTTATGCGACGAGGATAATGAGTCGAGATGAGATGAGTCGAATGTTAGTCTATATTGACTGGATTCGAAAGATTCGTGCTATAATACATATGGCTGTCCACTTTCCACGGAGAAGAGTATACAATAACAAATATCTAATAAAACAGGACTTGTTGGAACCGTACGCACCCAAACGATAACCCAAGAAAGCCAAGAACCGATCAATCAGAAGACACAATCTTCTCCCACCACGATCTCTCCTCTCGTCGCTTCTTCTGATCTGCCTTACAAGCAAGCGCCCATACTGTACCCGTGAGGTAACCACCCAGATGAGCATAATGGTCGAACTTGGCGGCACTGAAAGGAGTCACCATGCTTACGGCCTCGAAGGCAATGAAGCCAGCCAGGACTAGCCATCCGGGCGCTGAGAAGGTTTCCTGCCACTCACGGGGAAGGAAGAAAATAGTGAGCTTGTCGCTGGCTGGTTGTCAGTTATTGCCGTATTGTCGGGAAGATTTTGCGCTTACTTTGAATGGAGCATGCACCAAGCAGCGACGAGACTTGACATTGCCCCGCTAGCACCAAGAGATGTCGCGGCTAGATCCTTGAGAAGCAGAGTGTGTGCCGCAAGGGACGTAAACGAACCCAAGGCACCAGCAGCCATATATAGGGCTATGAAGTTTCCCCGGCCAATATCGTCGTGTACTGGAAGCATGTCAGTATTTGTTCGACCACCGAATTAGAATGCCGGATACTTACGTCGTGTTCCAATAAACCACAAGAGACTCATGTTCAACGCAAAGTGCTTAAATGTCTGGTGACTAAAAACACTTCCGATCATACTAGTTGCGCGAGGCCACGCGTTGACGATAATAAAATGCCGGTTGAGCATTCTCCAAGCCGGTGGCACCTTCCACAGGAGATAGACACACAGATTCAAACCAATAATAGCCATGGCTGTCGCAGCAGCAGGAGGAGTCTCGGGGAACATACGGTCCTGCTTCAATGGAGATTCATAGTTCTGAGCAAAAACGTAGGCAAGGCCGATGGTGAGCAACGCTATTGCCAAAGACGGAATGATCCGACGGGCCTGCAGACAAATCAGTAATGTCCTTTATTGTATGTTAATTGAGAGCGTACATTAGTCATTTGAGATACGTCGACGTCGTTATCTGTACCACGCAAGTGGTGTTTTTGGATCCAGGCCAATAGCGGACGTTGCTGTGGGTCGGCGCGCGGTCGAGCTATACCACCGGGTTAACAAGATACCAAAACCACACAGAGACGCAAGTATACTAACCTTCTAGAGCTGCAGTGTTATCGATCGTTTGCAGCGCCTTATTCTTTTCGGCCTGCTGTTTCAGAACCTCGAGGTCTTGTTGCTCACCCTCAAGCCATGCCTGGCGCTTCTTCTCCTCTTGTTCCAAAATACGTGCCTCATTTCGCTTGCGAAGTTCTAACAAAGCACTCTTTCCAGAGGGATCATCCTTCTCACCCCGTTCAGCGCCGTATGTTCCACTTTGCGGTTTGTACAATCCCAGTTCTTCTGCGCGGCGAATCAACTTCTGTTCCTCATCCGCTTCTTCCCGCTCAATGCGGGCAAGAATCGCTGCATCCTCGTCAAGCGGGTAGTTTGCACGGAGAAATTTGAGGGCTGTATCAAGACTGAGCTTGCGGACCGAATGTGTTATGTCTTCCGGGAGATCGAGATCCAAAGTACCGGCTTCACGTCTACCTTGTAGAACGGCAAGAACCCGGTTACCCACCGCGGGCGAGACCTTTGCCTTTCCAAAAATTGCGTTGATTTCGTCTGTAGAGAATGGTTCGGAACGGAGCTGCACGCCATGTTCAACCGGAGGGGTAGATTCGGACGACAAGAAACGGGTAGATGAGAACGGTCTAGAAAGAATCGCAACTGAAGAAAGTGAATTCAACCCAACAAGAAGAAGATGTCTTGTAGAGGGGGTGAATGGCATAAGCGATCCGAAAGGCCGTCGGCCGGTATAGTTCGAATACCACGATGGGAGCGAAGTGCGGAGATCACGACAGGCGGAGCGGAGCGGAATTGCATTGGACGGGGACATGCTCAGAGACCGGAGCCCTGGGCATGAAACCCGCCATGCGACGCAGAATACATTGCTCATATCCTGCGATTATGGAGCGAATCCAGCTGCAACAGGCCGGGTGTTGTTGCTGGCGGAGGATGAGCCGATTCGAAAAGCTCCGAGAAGGATTTCTCCGAAAGTCACGTGTTTGGTCGTAGGATGCTGACTTTGGGCTATAAGTGCGTCTTTACCAAGCAAACGATTCATGAGATCATTTCTGTCTATACTGGTGCGGCCTACGCTCTCTGGTTTATTACAATATTAGAGTATAGCACCTCGCTGTACATATTTGCATTCTTGAAATCGTCTATGCACGTGCTGATAACGATAAGGATACAGAAAACAACCCCCAGTCGGACTGTCTTGTACTCGACACCATCATCATCAAGACCCAAGAATACCTCCAGACAAAATGTCGGACCACCCGAATCCTATATTTACCCATTACACCTTCGCGGACGCCATCAAAGAGCTCCCCATCCTCGCTCTCTTCGCCAAAGCATCCGAGCTCCAAAACTCCATCGCCCACCTGCACCGCTCCAATGATGAAATGAAAGCATTCGTCGCCGAATCCTGCGACTCGGAAGAGGACAAACGCGAAATTGAAGACTATGTATCAGAGAATGAGGGTGTTCTCGCAAAGTTCACCGAGCGCATTGCGTTGTTGAAGGCGGAAGTGGAGAGGCGGGGTCAGCGATGGATTGAGGTTGCAAACATGAATGGGACGGATACAAATAAGGAGAATGCAGATGCGCAGCCATCAGAAGCTCAGCTGGCGATTAACGGGACCGTCGGCAACGAGGCGCATCATAACGATGCAGACCAAGAGACGGGAAATAGAGACGCAAGCGCAGGACAAAACGGGATCTACCTGTGATTCTCGGTTCACTTGTCCAATACTTTGGGACCGACTCGTACATATCATTCGCATGGGCATCTAGGGAAAATCGTGTTATGGATCATCAACGATTTAAATGGGGGTTATTGAGTTTCAGCCAATAATTAGTCTTGCGTCTGTCTATTCACTCGCGGTGTTTTGACGAAACTGAATCGCACAACGTACCTATCAAAGTCGAAGTGAGCTCGAAGGGTCATGGTTCAGTTGACGCCGTCGGATGCTAGAGCTTTACGGCGACTACACATCAGGATTCAGCAAATCACGTTCAAGGGCAAGGCCAAAAAGTCAAGTCATTTCCACATTACGCTATACCTAGCAGAAACAAAGAAACAAAAACAGAGCTTCCATCCAACGAAGAACCTTCGCCATAAGGCTATGCACTATGTATCTGACTAGGCTGAAGAACACAATCATGCCTAGATGTAGATAATGACGAAAAACATGCAACCCTGATCTCAAAAACTAATTCAAGCATACATGCAGGAATATATGGAGACAAGTAAACCAACAACAAAAAACAAGGATATCTGCTAATATACCATATGCTCCAATGTCTTGATCCGATGGGCGTACCGTCCACTGCGTTGATCTGCCCATATCGTTAAAGATGGCCCATAAACAAAAAGCCAAAACTGTACTGCGTAGAAATTGAGATAAACAAGTTTCCAACACCAGGTTAGAAGACAATTAATCGTCACCGAAAAGCGAGTGAAGAAGGCCTTGAAGCAGCCATGTCACGAGTGTACTTTCTAGCTCAGCTAGATGTTTGTTGCGCCCAGTGTCCGCCCCCGACTGCCTCTGGCGGAATGCGCTGTTGCTTGATAAACAAGTCGATAAGGGGCTGCATGGGCTCCATCTCCTTGTCGGAAACGAGCTTATAGTACTTGGCGACAGTCACAAAATGAACGAACGCCATGTTAAGAATGTCATGTTTGTTGATATGCCAGAAGGGGTTCAGCCAGTGAGCATGGTAGAGATGGGCGTAGCAACGGAACATCTGTTTCATGATACCCTGACAGTCTTTGTAGAAAGTTGGCGGGAAACCACTGGACTTGCCAATCCACTCCTCTGCAGTAGCATTCGCTGGAGGGTTGGATGGAGCAGCCCCGGAGGCCTCATTGACGGCAAAGGTATCTGGGGCATTAGCCACCTTGTCGGTTGGGAACATGACGGGGTCATGAATTTTACTGATGATCCACTTTTCAACACGGTTGATGAACTTGGGAGCCGAGATCTTCGCGGCACGACCATCCACAAGCCACGTGTAAGTCAATCTAGAGGAAGAAGAGTCCCATTAGTTGGAAATCCAAATTTCAGATTCCATATCCGTTGTGACTTACCGTCCTGCAGACATGGTTGGGCAGGTGGCCTCATTGCAAATAGGAAGACCAGTGACTCCATTGACCTCTTGGATAACCTGCAGCATCGCATGAAGCAGACGGTACTGCTCGACAACTGTATAGTGTCAGTCTCTAGCATGCATACTCCAGCCATACTGCGCAAGGACCGCTTACTCTGATGGGCCAACCATTCTCCCAGCTCCACATTCTTTGGACAGGCACAGAGAGTCAAAAAGTTACCCCTTACGTTCAGAGGGGCGTACTTCTCCTGAAAGAAATATTTGGGTGCGTCGGGATCGTATGCGGCGGGGCTGTCCATTGGCAGCGGCGAACCGAGAGACGGAGAGTTGGGAGCAGGCGAGATTTGGGGAGTTTGAGCGACAGGCAATGGAGCGGGAGACTTGGGGGCCGCGTTGTTGTTGGTGGTGTTATTATTATTGTTGTTCTTGTTGTTACCTCTGCCAAACCCTTGACGACTAGAGTTGAGACAGTCCGAGTTAGCGCCAGTACTTGAAGCGGTGAGAAGCACAATGGAAATTAGGAGCAGATCAAAAGATGCCACAAGAAAAAGTGCGCATAAATAAGTAAAATCAAATAAATAAGTAAAGAGGACGTTTCTTTGTGCTGTGTAGCGTTCCTCCGCAGCATGGAGAATCAGGGGACAACCGGGGAGGTTATCAGTCCCTGAATTTCCCCCCCTCCTCCAATGAATTACTTACACACTTTGGAAAAAGGTCGCCATTTTAAACCACTCAATTCCTGAGGACGGGCAAGACAATGATCTCAAGAAAAAAAAAAAAAAAAACTAACAAGCAGGCGATGGGCACAAGGGAAGAAGTAGAAGTAACACTGAGGCAATTGGTGTGAATCGCCTCTTTTGGTCTGGCCCATGGAGTTGATCCTGGAGCTAGTCTTAATTAGTAACGGGGCGGATTATTCTGTAGCTCCGAAGAAAGTGAAGCTCCGGCGCGAAACCAAGTAGAATGAATACTGTAAGAAGGACAGGATTACAACGCCGAAACTGATTCCAATTTGCAGAATTTCGAATACTGTGAGTCACAAAAAAAGACAGTTGAGTAGTCAATTTGAATAACCGCGACTCGAGTTCATTGGATAGTTGGAGCGTGTTTTTTACCTTGAACCTGACCGGCCTCGATTCTTCTAATTCTACGCCAGCTCACCGATATTCATACACACAATGTCCTCGTCAGACGAAGAGGTAGTACGTCGTCCGGGACGCTCAGGTCGGGGTCAGAGTCCAGCTGGGAGCGAACCCAGCAATACCCCAGCCGCAGACAACATGGACCTAGACCAACCGAATGGTGACGACGATGCAGATCTCTTTGGCTCAGATGGAGATGAAGGGGGGCTGGAAGAACTGGCAGAGGATGAGTATGGATATACATATGCTGCTGTGAATACAGCACCGGCTGACTCTGTACCATTAGCCAACCCCAGCGAAGACTCGACGATGAACAATTGGATTCCGGCGACGACGAGGGCCGTTATGATCGAACGGAAGATCGCATGGATTACGAGGGTCCAGGGGAAGGGGAGTTTGGAGAAACCGTCAACATTATGGACCTGAGCTTAGGTCGAGCGCCAGAGCCAGCGACCACAAATGGAGAGGTATTGCACACTGATGAACGTAACTGCATGATCCCAATTGTTAATTTGTCCTAACTCACAGGTCTACACTATGCCCGTTCCCAACTTCTTATCTTTCGAAACAGAAGAGTTCAACCCCGAGACCTATGTTGCGCCTCCATACGCTACAGCAGCCACATCACTTTGCTGGCGCCATGATCCGAACGATGACTCCCTCCTCCAATCTAACGCTCGCGTTATCCGATGGGAAGATGGGTCAATGACGCTTCAACTCGCTTCAGCCCCCAAGGAACAATATAGGATATCAGCCAAAGCACTTGCACCTCTTGACCGATCTGGCAACTATGACACGAAGTTGGATTCTCACGTCTATTTGGGTGCGGCCGCGGAAACCTCCTCTGTTTTCAGGTTGACTTCGCACTTGACACACGGTCTCACTGTTCTCCCGACAACAATGGAAACGGATGATGCTGTCCAGCGACTTCAAGAATCGCTGGCTGCAGCAACCCGCGGCGGCAAGAAGACCGCAGACGGATCGGCACCGGTTATCGAAGTCAAGGAAGACCCCGAACTGGCTAAGCGACAGGCTGAGTTGGCAGAACGTGAGAAACTGAAGGCAGCTCGCCGGCGTCAACAACTCGCAGATCGCGAAATGGATCGCGGCCGCCGGGCTGGCGTGTCCCGCACCGGAGGTGCTGGCCTTACTGTGGGCGGATTGGAAGATGACGACGGCCTTCTCACCACACGACCACGCACGAAGGCAACTCGCAAGCCGAATCGTCGCGGTGAGATCCACACGGATGATGAGGACTATGGTCGCCGGGGTCGGACCCGCGAGGATGAATATGACGAAGACGATGGGTTCCTTGTCGGTAGTGATGAAGAGCCCGAAGTCGGCGACGATGATGATGAGGAGGAAGAAGTGCTGGGCGAGGAAGAGGACGCCGATGCTGAAGCAGATGAAGACACTGCCACACCTCAAAGGCCAGCTGCTAAACCCAGACGTGCATCACCGGAGGCACTAGCAGGCGAGGCGTCATCTCGAAAGAAGAACCGTTACATTGTGGATGATGAGGAGGAAGAATGATCTTCTGAGATTTTTGCTACTTATATCTTTGCTTAATGAGTATTGCATTTGATACACAGATGTAGAAAATGTGTGAACATAATTTGGTGAAAATGGATTGAAAGATGTCGTTTGGTATAATACCTGCTGTATGCACTAGATTCAAATGCCACAATAACGCCTCGTGCGCAAAACCTCGTAACTCGTTATGAAATTGTAACATACCCGGTTGACCCTAAACACCCCAGCTTGCCAATATGCCAATATGTCAGATGCAAATGCACCAAGAACTTCGGTTTTGCTTAAAATTCTGTATCATCTGGATACTCATGTGGCTTGAAGTCGAATTTGGATATGACATCTTTGACGCTCCGAATCACACGGAGGCAAAGATAATCTTTCTCATCACATTGGTCGTTGGAGAGGTCACTCTGACCTTCGAAGTTGGTCGACGATTTCTGTGGAGACACCCATGTAGGCGCATCTTTCCCTGCATGCCATTTTTGTTGACGCTCTTCGAATTCCGTAACAAGAGAGAGTAAATTCGGCGAATCTGAGCAGCGTACGCGACCGGCAGCGTCAAGAGGACCTCCAATGACAGCATTTCTGACTGTTTGGCGAAGCCATTTCCTCCAGCTTTCTGTGGAGTTTGGGGACGACTCTGTTAGTAAAGTCACGTAGGCAGGAGGGGCGGCCTGTTTCCCAAGTTCTACAGGGTCGGCTTTCGACACGCGAAACCATCCATCAGCGACAACATTTAGTAAAGTCCCAGTAAGCATGACATTTTGCACACCGGTGGCATATGTTTTTGGGCATTCCGCGCAACGTATGACATCCCGGGCCGTCTTCGTACCAATAAACAACGAGCAAATTGTGTGATGAGAGATTGGGAAAGGTGATAAAGAAGAAAGATGGCTGAGACATAAGTATAAGTATGATAAGCACGAACATTGTGGAATGGCACTGGAAGAAGAGAACTGTATATCGGCCGATCCCGCAGGCTTTGCGAACGATGAAGCTGTTGCCGCAGACACACTGGAGAAATCCGGCCATGGACTTGCTGTAGCAGGGAGCGGCTCCATGACTCCAGTGTTGTGTGTTTGCAAAGATTGACCATAATTATTATCCATAGATAATAGATGTGGGAAGGCATGCGGTACACGATACGGTGCACAATAGACTTGAGGAAAAAGACCGTCGGTGAGTGCATTTTCTTCAAATGAGTGAGCACTACCAAGCTCTGGCCATTGCCCGATCCCCTGTAAATTATCAAGTTCTGTGTCTTCGTCGTCTTCACGCATTCGTTTCTTAGGCGGTCGTCCCATCTGTTTCTGTATTGAATAATGGCAGACCAGAGACTGCTTGAGGCATCGAATACAGCCCGTAGGCTCTCCGGAGCATTTCAGCTTCCTTTTCCCTATCCAAATACAGTTCAGCCGTCCATACAAGCAAGTTCAAGGCCCTTCAGCCGCTGGCGACTTACTACACTCATCGCAAGCTGCATGCCGCTTCAGCGACGGGATGGTTTCCGCACTTGTGCCATGATTACTGGACCCCATTGAAGAAAAAACCAACGGATTCCAATCCAAGCAACTGAGCGACATCTTGAAGGCAAAATTTCCCTGAAAATAAACATGGAATATTATATGAAACAGAAGAATTGCCTCAAAATAATGAAGCGATAAGATGCGGGCAGAAGGCGGTGTGTCACGTGGGCGGTCAGAACGGGAGCAGGAAGTATCCCCCCCCCCCCCAAAAAAAAAAAGAAAAAAGTCGCGAATCCCGACATCCCTTCCGACACAGCATCATGGACGCTTCAAAGGGCTCGAAGAAGCGAAAGGCAATTACGCGCGATGTGGAGGAGGAAGCAGGAACGTTTTCCGGGGATGAATTGAGCAAGAAAAATTTGAATGGAGCGCTTTCGGACGACGCCAACGATCTTTCGAGCGATGAAGGCGATTCGGAAGTGGAATTGGTTGATGACTTCAGCAGTGATGAAGAAGAGGTTGAAGGGGAGGAGGGTATTGACAGTGATGAGATTCCTTCCGATGGTGGAGACTTGGTTAAGAAGAAGTCTGGCACAGCGGTCGACGAGCCGGCGAGGGACAACGACGACGACGAATCTAGCGAGGAGGAACAAATCAATTTCCGCATCGAAAAAGATGCCTATGGAAATGACCGCTATCTCTATGATGAGATCAATCCGGACGATAACTCGGAGCTCTCTGAAGCCGACGAAGATGCAAACACCATCGGCAACATTCCCTTGTCCTTCTACGACGAGTATCCCCATATAGGTTATGACATTAACGGGAAGAAGATTATGCGTCCCGCAAAGGGCGAAGCTCTAGATGCATTGTTGGATAGTATCGAGATCCCTAAGGGCTTCACTGGTCTTACGGATCCGTCGACTGGCAAGCCGCTGGAGCTGAGCCAAGATGAGCTGGAGCTTCTGCGCAAGGTTCAAATGAACGAAATCCCCGACGAAGGCTACAACCCATACGAACCGACTATCGAATGGTTCTCCAGCAAGCAAGAAGTTATGCCTTTGAGCGCTGCCCCCGAACCAAAGCGCCGGTTCGTTCCATCGAAGCATGAAGCCAAGCGGGTGATGAAGATTGTCAAGGCGATTAGAGAGGGTCGTATTCTTCCTTACAAGGCCCCGGAGGAGCGAGATGAGGAGGATCCGAATGTAATCAAGTATGACCTGTGGGCAGATGAGGCAGAGGATGCGGATCCCCATATGCATATTCCTGCTCCTAAGCTTCCTCCGCCTGGTTACGAGGAGAGTTACCACCCACCACCTGAGTACCTGCCGGATAATAAGGAGCGGAAGACTTGGGAGCAAACAGACCCAGAGGACCGGGAGAGCGAGTTCTTGCCTAATGACTTTGGCTCCCTCCGGAGGGTTCCTGGTTATGAGAACTTTGTTAAAGAGAAGTTCGAGCGCTGCCTAGATCTTTACCTGGCTCCTAGAGTCCGGAGAAGCAAGCTGAACATCGATCCCGAGAGTCTCCTCCCCAAGCTTCCCAGTCCTGAGGAGCTGAAGCCGTTCCCAACTGCCTGCGCCACTATTTTCAGAGGCCACAAGGGCCGCGTGCGTACCTTGGCCATCGATCCATCCGGCCTCTGGCTTGCCACTGGTGGTGACGATGGAACTGTTCGTGTTTGGGAACTTCTCACTGGTCGTCAACTCTGGAGTACAACTTTAAATGAAGAGGATCCGGTCAATGTGGTTAAGTGGAGGCCTGGCAAGGATGCTGTTGTCCTTGCTGCGGCCGCGGGTGACGATGTATTCCTTGCGGTTCCCCCTATCGTTGACCCTGAAGTTGAACAAGCCAGTCTTGAGATTCTTGATGCTGGGTGGGGATACGCAGCTTCAAGACCAGCCCCGACTGGTGCGGATGCGAACAAGAAGAACGCTCCCCCTCAGTGGATTCGCCCATCGAGTTCGCTTGCGGACTCTGGCGTGTATGCTGTTATCCCTCTTCGCTACGTTGTCAAATCACTCTCATGGCATCGTCGCGGCGACTACTTTGTTACAGTGTGCCCGGGTTCGTCTACGCCTGCCTCTGTGGCCATCGCTATCCATACTCTTTCCAAGCATCTGACCCAATTCCCCTTCCACCGCCGTCTTAAGGGTGGTGGGCCTCCGCAAACTGCTCACTTCCACCCATCGAAGCCGGTCTTGTTCGTTGCCAACCAACGGTCAGTGCGTGCCTACGATCTTTCTCGCCAACTCCTTGTCAAGATCATCCAGCCTGGTGCCCGCTGGATTTCTTCCTTCGACATTCATCCAACCTCCTCTACCGCTGCTGGCGGAGATAACCTCATTGTGGGATCCTACGACCGTCGTCTCCTGTGGCATGATCTTGAACTCTCCCCACGCCCCTACAAAACATTGCGGTACCACCGTAAGGCTATCCGTTCCGTCAAGTTCCATCCTGGTGGCCGCTACCCTCTCTTTGCGGACGCGAGTGACGACGGCTCTTTGCAAATCTTTCACGGCAGCGTTACGGGTGATATGCTTAGTAATGCAAGCATTGTGCCACTCAAGGTCCTCAAAGGCCACAAGATTACTGGTGAACTTGGTGTGTTGGAGGTGGACTGGCATCCGAGAGAAGCGTGGTGTGTCAGTGCTGGTGCAGATGGAACTTGTCGTTTGTGGATGTGATTGTGAAACCAACAGGCAATCTACGCATTTACACAAGGGCGTTTATTTCTTTATATTATTGTTTGGGTTGTATAGTTCAAGATATATCCATAGTAAAAGTTATCCCATTCATAAAAGTTTATGCACATCGAGCGTAATTTTCATTAGTCACAATTCCCGTATTAGGACCCACCCTCGTTAACTTCCTGAAAAAGAAGTTAATTGACGAATGGGATCATACCGTAAACGGCTTAGTCGCTCCCGTCACTAACCATTTGCAGTAAAGCTTCCTCTCGCCGCCAAGGATCCCGCCGGTAATCACGTGATCTATGAAAAATTCGTCAGAAGTTGAACTTCATCCGGGACCTTCCCGATGAGGATGCTAGAAGGAGAAGCGGTCGAATTATGTAGAATCTCACCGTGGCGTAAATATTATATATAGACGGACGAGTGAGCAATGAGTGTGAGAGTACACACCTCTTTCAATACCATACAACCACTTCCGAGCGAGCCCTTCGTATATGGCTATTAATCCCGAAATGCCGGAACACAATGGCAGTCATCCGACAGAGATAGCAGAGAATGCTGGTTTCTCTGCTCAAGAAAAGGGCATCAATTATGAAGATCAGGGGCCAAATGCCCAAACACTACTGGATTCGGAGACAATCGAGCGGTTAGGGCGACAAAGTCCTCCACATTTCTCGACCATATGGTCTGAATTAACATTCTGCTTCTCAATATTCATGTGCCAGATCCTTTCTGTATGTATCTTGTCTTGAGATCATCCTGATGCTCTTATTAACAAAATATGTAGGAATACTACATATCCGGTTCCAATGTCCTCCTTCCAACATTGATAAAGGAGCTGGACATCCCTCCCAGTCAGTCAATTTGGCCAGCCACAGCCTTGTCCCTTGTCGTCACGGCCACTCTGCTTATCTTTGGTCGTTTGGCGGACATGTTCGGAGGATTCGCGTTGTACTTTGGGGGGATGGTGTGGTTGACCATCACCTCACTCATTGCCGGATTCTCCCAGAACTGGTTGATGCTGTTTATATTCCGAGCACTGCAGGGGCTGGGGCTGGCAGCATTCTTGCCGTCGAGTATCATGATTCTCGGAAGAACATACCGTCCGGGGCCTCGTAAAAATCTCGTCTTCAGCATCTATGGCGCCTGTGCAGCGCTGGGGTTTTTTGTCGGTATCTTCTTTTCCGGCATTTGCGGTGAATTTCTGTCATGGTCGTGGTATTTCTTTTTTGGTGCCATTTTCTCTGCCATCACGGCCGTGTCGTCTTACTTTTCGGTTCCCTCGGATTGGACTGAGAAACGAGCAACATCTAAGGCTAGCATGGACTGGATCGGATCTGCCTTGCTCGTGCCAGGGATGGTGCTGTTTATTTTTTCCATCGCGGACAGTGCCCATGCACCCCAGGGGTGGAAGACGCCGTATATCATTGTTTGTCTGATTCTTGGTGTCCTTATTCTGAGTGCTTTCATATATGTGGAGGGATGGGTTGTCGAGAATCCTTTGATACCCGGGGATTTGTTCTCGGTCAAGTACATGAAACCACTTATTCTCGTTCTCCTCTGCATGTATGGGTGTCTTGGGATTTATCTTCTCTATGCTTGCCTATAGTAAGCGTCGTCCCTTTTAGCAGATACCCAATGTCCGATCATTAACATCGTATAACAGCATGCAGGAAATTATGGGAGCCTCACCCCTTCAGGTCGTCGCATGGGCAGTCCCCATGGCAGTTGGTGGTCTCATTCTCTCTGTTGCCGGAGGCTATCTTCTCCACATGCTCAACGGAACTATCCTAATGATAATATCCGCTCTGGGTTACCTTGCATCCGGTCTCTTATTCGCTCTGGTTCCCCTCGGAGGAAACTACTGGGCCTTCGTATTCCCCGCCATGGTTGGTGGCACAATCGGGATCGATATCAGTTTCAACGTAACCAACATCTTCATAACCACGAACCTTTCGAAGGAAAGACAAGGGCTAGCGGGCGCCTTGATCAATTGCACCCTTCACTTCGGAATTGCCATCATGTTGGCGTTTGCCGATATCGTCCAGGTTCACACTGAGGGGTACTTGAGTCTTCGGAAGAGCTACCAGTCGGCGCTTTGGTTTCAGACTGGGTTGGCTGGTTTTTCCTTGGCTGTGGTGATTGCGTTTGTGCGGATCAAGAGTGCGAAGAGTGAGTTGACTGTGGATGAGAAGCTTGAGTTGGAGGCCGCTGCGAGGGAAATTTAGCGGCCTTTCAATAGACATGAAGTACATAGATAGCATGACTGTATTTGCATTTACATTTGCTGTATTTAGCACTAATCATAATAGAGGATAGATATGCCGAAGGTTAGAGATATGACTATTCTTAACTATTATAGAATATAGAGAATTGAGATTAGAGAACACACTATCCTGAACACCCCATTAAGGCATCTATATACGTCTAACTGTAACCGAAACAACCTGGTCTATGATATATTTACAGAACGCCTCCGCTCCAATCCCTCCTCAACTTCTCATACTTCCTCAAATCAGTAACACTGGGCCGAATAAACGACTTGGCAGCCACAAAGTCTTCAAACTTGATGGTATCACGCCTCTTGATGGCGGAGTATCCAGCTCTTCGAAGCAAGCTTCCCAAGTCCGCGCCGCTGAACCCTTCGCAGTCCTCGGCCAGTTTTCTGAGATCCTCACTGAACTCGATGGACAGGTTGCGGACAATTGTTTGCAGAATATCCACACGCTCTGTTGGGCTTGGCAGGTTCACGAACAGGAGAGTCTCGAGACGGCCTGGACGGAGCATGGCTGGATCGATAATATCCGGTCTGTTGGTTGCTGCAATTACGTAGATGCCTTGACGGCTGCTTCCCAAGCCGTCGAGTTCGGTAAGGAGGGTGTTTACGACACGCGCAGAGGCCTCGGAGACTGTATCGTCACGACGAGGGACAAGCGCATCCAGTTCATCAAAGAAGATAACACAGGGAACAGACGAGCGAGCGCGGACGAAGACCTGTCGTACAGACCGTTCGGACTCTCCGACGAATTTGTTAAGTAATTCGGGACCTTTAACGCTGATGAAGTTCGCGCGGGACTCGTTGGCCACGGCTTTGGCAAGTAGTGTTTTACCACAACCAGGTGGACCCCAGAGCAGGACTCCTGTGGGTGCAGTGATACCGACGCTTTCGTAGATTTCGGGGTTCCTGATTGGTTCGACGATAGCTGTAGAAAGTTCGTCGCGGACACCTCCCAAAGCACCAATGTCTGCCCAGGTAGTATCGGGGATCGTTGCGAAACCTTCACGTTTAGATGATGGCTGGATCTTGGGGAGTGCTACGAAGAAGTCCTGGTTCGAAATTTCAACCACTTGGGATTCTTCTCCAACAGGATTCTCTTTTGCATGCATGATAAGTCGTCGCAATTCTTTGATCTTGGGACTAACTTCGTCCGATTCATCTTCGATATCCATTTCCTCGCCACTGTTGGATTTTAGGATCTCAAGGTACCTCTTGATAGCAGTAGCGCCGGCTGTTGAGACAAGATCGTTTAGATCAGCGCCAACAAAACCTGGTGTCCTTTTTGCCAACATCTTGAAATCCAGGTCGTCTGCAAGGCGCATCTTCCGCGTGAGAGCCCGAATTATTTTCTCTCGCACGGGTTCGGATGGAACTGTCATGTTTATCTCCTTATCGAATCTCCCACCACGACGTAGGGCTGCGTCCAAGCTGTCCGGGCGGTTTGTCGCTGCAAGAACAATCACGGGTTTCCCTTCTGTCTTCTCCAACGCTAGATCATCCATACATGTCAGAAGCTGGGCGACAATTCTCTTCTCCATTTCCCTCTGCGCACTTTCGCGCTTTGGCGTAATGGCATCTATTTCATCTATGAAGATAAGGCAAGGTGCGATTCGTTTTGCTTCATCAAAGTGCTCTCTGAGGGCTTTCTCGGATTCACCAGACATCCCCGAAACAATCGATGGCGCTGAAATTGAAATGAACGGAACTCCGAGTTCGGCCGCAAAGGCGTTTGCAATCATTGTTTTACCACATCCTGGTGGACCATGTAATAAGACACCCCGTGGTGGTTGGACATTCGACGATAAATACACTTGAGGACGGGTCATCGGTAAGATAACGAGATCACCCAGGTCTTCAATGACTTCGTCCAACCCACCCAAATCCGTAAGGCTCACATGTGTTGGTGGTGATCTATCGACTTGGGATTCAGCTTTCCGTCGCTTGGAAGACGATTCACTTTTATTTTGTCGTTCTCGTTTCTTCGTCGACACCGATGTAGACGCCGGCACATTGTCAGCGCCATTTGCTTCGGTGGGTGTTTGTGACTTCGATCCGATGTTCCACATGCTGACAAGGCTCTTATTGAGATTGTTGGACTCCTGGATCTAGTCAGTATTTTTTCCCCCCTAGACATGCGATTGCGCTTCACGCATAGCACATACCTGGGCCGGAGGCTGCTGCTCTTCCAAGCCTTCAAAATCACCCTCTACCAAGTCCTCCTCATCATCTCCGAATATATCGAGTTTCACCATTTCCACGACCCGCTCGAGACTATCCTCCAATACCCTCTTCGGTCTCCGGTTCAGGCTGGAATTCGATCTCTTGATGCTGTCGTATATGGCGGGAACGGTTAGTCGCAGCTGGTCTTTCTCAATCTGGTCGTCAACGATTTTGCGCACAACTTGGTAGACCTGCGGAGGACAAAAAAAAGTATCAGCTAAGAAACACGCAGTGACGGGAATTCCTAGTCTCACATCGCGATCCAAGCCCTGCCGCAAAGTCGGCCTGCCTCCGCGATTCCCCTGGCGCATTTTCACGAGCTCCAGGAGGCTGTAGGGCCTGATTTAATGGTTGGTCGAGAAATTGTCGTGCTGCAATTCTTGCGATTTTCCCAAAAATTTGGACGGAGCGGAAAAAAACATGTTGCCGGCGGGGATTTGAAAAATACAGCCAGAGACTGCAAATTGACGGGCGGTGGATACAGTATGATACACAATTAACGCTAATGCCCATTCCGGGGTAACTTTACTTATCTCGCATCATATCGATCGGTCTCCGAGCATTCACCCAGATAGACAATGCGGTGATCATGGGCAACATCTCCAGCTATCCCAAGATATCCGCTCAGGATCGGTAAGCACTGCCTTTTTAACAGTGGTATACGTCCTACTTTGTGCAATGCTGACTTGTTCCATCCAATGTTAAGAGCGATCCTCGACCTAAAGAACCAACGTGATAAGCTCCATCAGTACCAGAAACGCATCGCCGTCCTCACAACGCGCGAAACCGAAATCGCAAAGGAATGTCTAGCCCGGAATGATCGAAGGAGCGCCCTCCTTGCCCTCCGCCGTAAGAAATACCAGGAATCCCTTCTGGCCAAGAGCGATGGACAGCTCGAGCAGCTCGAGCAATTAGTCGGGCAGGTGGAATTTTCGCTCGTACAGAAAGACGTACTCTTTGGGCTGCAACAAGGAACGCAAGTTTTACAGGCTATTAATAAGGAAATGGGCGGAATTGAAGGCGTGGAGAAGCTGATGGGACAGACTGAGGAGGCGCGCTCATATCAAGAAGTGAGGACATTGGACCATTCCACCCGTGTGAGCTTATTATGCTAACCACGTGGCGGCGATCTAGGAGATTAGCCAGATGCTTGCGGGAAATCTGTCGAACCAGGATGAAGACGAAGTCGAAGAGGAACTGGCGGCACTGCAGGGTCCAGTGGTATTACCAGAGCCTCCTACGACAATTCCCAAACAGCCTGAAATGCCGGAAGATACAGCAGCAGAAGTAGAAAGGGAGATGACAGAGCAAAGGGAGGTAATCAGAAAGAAAGCGCGAGCTATAGTCCCAGCTTCTTGATTAATTGTTCCCGTATACGGGCTACTTCTGCCTTTGAATTCGAGTTCATCAGGTCAATTCTGGAAGCATTACTGGCGTTGGTGGTTAGTTCTATTTTTCTCTTCTTGCATGATGTGTTTAAAGCCATGGTCAGCTTCAAGCGGTTAGAAATTGAGGTTCATTATTTGTTCTCAGTATGAGTCCAGCTCACTGATGGATCAAAGTCATCGACGTCGTCTCAATAATGGATACATTCATAATATATGCAATCGCTTTTCCTTTCATAGTACAATTTCCCTTGCCCCCTGCAAATGCTGCAACCGCTCACTGTCCGGGCATGATTCGTCCTCCCATCTCATTGGTCCCTGTGATCGAGACATGGTCCCCAGGATTCGCTGCCGCTTCGTAGATAAAGTTGATAGGTTCACGATTCAACGCCATGAACTGACCCTTGAAACCAATGTACCCGACTTTGGTCACATCCTCCTCTCCATCACTCCAGTTATCTTCAAAAAAAAGGGTGATCGAGGTAGTTGTGTTCCAGTGAGCACGGTTCAAGGGCATCTCAAAAACGTCAGCACCAGGGACTGGCTGCGGAATCTCCAGGATCTGGGTTGGTTTGAGTTCTGAGGCGGTTGAAAAGTCGAGGTCCTCGCGATTCTTGAACAACTTCAAGGTCTTAGGGGCAGACGGAGTCGGTGCAGTGTAAATCAGAAGCGAGTGAACTTTGACCTGGCCAGTGAATCTGCATTGTTGAAGGACCCATTAGCATATGTGGTATGATGGTTTATTGGTAGCTGGAACTAGCACGTTTTGACGAGCTTGACTGATAAGCTGAGGGGCATGGCGGGGTAGAATATCGAGAACATCGAATCAAAAGAACAGCAATAATAGAAAAGATAGAAGCGCTTAAAGCATAAGAATACGAATTTGGGAATATACGAACGGGATATGCATGAGCAGTTGCTCATCCGCGTCACTCTCAAGCTCGGGCTGGTCGTCCAATCTCTCCGCCCATGACTTCTGGACAATCGCGGCTCCGGATCTTGGTCTATCCTCTATTGTTCCTAGTTAGCTGTGACTCTGCAGAGGGTTAACTCAAGTATATATACCATTCAATGTGTTGATGGAATCGAACTGAATCTGGGTGTAGAGAAGGGACTGAACAGCCGGAGTGATGTCGTTGGAATGGTCGTGTTCACCATGGCAATGACCACCATGGCCATGATCATGGTGATTGTTTCCTGACATTCTGACTGATTCCGTGAAAGATGTTCGTCGTTTTTCAGTTAACGGTCTGGTGTTGGGATGATAAGATCGCCACTAGAGAAGATAAAGAAGATGGAAAAGTCTTGAGACCAATCGATTGCCCAAAAGGGAAGCGGCATGTCTCCGCTCCGGGATGACCTCACCTTCTAGCCCTATATGTATGTGTACTTTGGATCTAAATAGTGAGTTTAAACCTTGTATATTGGATATTCAAATTCATTTTGCCTTGACTCCGGGTATACGATACAGGTAAGCATCTATGAACGTAAACTATCACTGGACTTTGTAGAAGTTGGGAGCGTATTCCGTGAGGTAGCTCCTTTCGATCTTAGTCACATCTCGAATGAATGTCTTGTCACTTGTTTGCATGATTTCATTGAAGATGACCCAGTCTGCTTTTCGGTTCTATTGGAATAGTTAGCTGAGACAAAGCCTGGTTCGCCAAAAAAAAAAAAAAAAGACAACAAGAGCAACTCACAAACATTAGAGAACTGGGATGCGCATGAAGAGTAAGACCACCACTGACAGCCTTAAATGTCCCATCAGGTTGCATTTTGGCAGCGTGAGCAAAGTAGCCCGTTGTAAGACATCTCTGAATCTGCTCAGGTTTCCTGCTTAAATCTGCCTGTTGATAGCTGGAGGAAGAAAGTGACTCGTCGGTCTTGATACCAAACCGTTCGAGATAGCGTTTGAGCTGGGCCCGTATGCTCACGGCGCGCTGCAAAGACCGGTAATTTAGAAGGTTGTCGCGGCACCACTTGGAATCCTTCTTCCCTTTCGTGACGAATGCTTGGTAAACATTGAGATACGTCAAGTGATCGCCCTCTTCGACAGTAAATTTCCTGCGAGCGCTCTCCGAAAATCTCCTATCTCCCTCATGCTGTAACCATACAGCTCCCTGGAGACTGACCATGGCGGCAATCGTCAGGATTTCGCTTAGACAGTCAAACGATTGGGCGGAAAGAAGGGCTTTGCCCATCATAGGATCAATTGCGAGTTCGGCCATTCGTATCCCCAAGGGCTTAGTGAGTTTTGCATAGTCATCCACAGCACCAAGAGAATATAGAAGCTCGAATGCGCGGATTACTAGTTCCGCGGGAGGAGGCGTCAGAAAATCAAACCGGACAATGTTATCTATACCCAAAGCCTTGAGTTGCATAAGGACAGGCGTTAAATTTGACCGTTGGATTTCCGGGACTGTAGAATCTGGAAGATGTTCGTATGCCTCTTGGGTGTAGAGACGGAAGCATTTGCCTGGCTTGGTACGTCCGGCACGACCTGCTCGCTGGACTGCAGCGGCTTTTGAAATAGGCACCGCAGTCAACGTCTCAATTCCAGTGCCGGGACTATATGCCTTGAGTTTTGCAAAGCCGCAGTCAATCACGTAAACAACCCCGTCGATTGTCACCGACGCTTCCGCGATGTTGGTCGACACAACGACCTTGCGCGTATTTTCCGATGCTGGTTCGAAAACATACATTTGCTGGTCTGTGGTAAGACCAGAATATAAAGGCAGTGGCTGTAAGGCTTGTGCCTTAGGGGGCAACGTAGCACCACGCTCGGAAATCAATTGAATGGCCGTGTCGATTTCCTCCCGCCCCGTTAGAAAGACTAGAATATCCCCCTCGTCTTCTTGTAGGTGTATGTCAAACACTGTTTTGACGGCTCTCTCTATATAGTCTTCCGCTGGTGATTCGAGAAAAAGAGTATCGACTGGATACATTCGCCCCTCAAGACTGATGATTCTTCCAACGCTCCCGCCGAGCTCTTCCGGTTCCGCATCAGTTTTGAATTCCCCCCCCGCGAAGAAATGGAGAAAGTCTTCAGCTTGCAAAGTAGCACTGCTGACTATAATACGCAGATCTGGCCGCCGTCTCATGATCTTCTTCAAGATACCCAAGAGAACATCTGTGCTAAGAGACCTTTCATGAGCCTCGTCGACCATGATGACTGAATAACGGGACAGAAGAGGATCTACAAGGGCCTCCCTAAGTAACATCCCATCAGTTAGGAACTTGACCCTTGTAGAAGCAGACGTCTGATCCTCAAAACGGATCGAGTAGCCCACCTCTTCGCCAACTTTGCAGCGCATTTCTTCAGCTACTCTGGTTGCCACCGTAGTAGCCGCTACCCGCCGTGGCTGTTGTCGTTAACTAAGCTACTCTGGTTCTTCTTGGTCGGAAAAAATTAAAAATTACCTGCGTGACCGCGATAGCCTTCCCATCTGCGCACCATCCTGCCTGATCCAAATATTGCGGAAGTTGCGTTGTCTTTCCACTTCCGGTATGCCCGACAACAATAGTGACGGGGTAGGTCTCAACAAGATAAAGCAGATTACGCCTATGCCGTGCAATTGGCAACAGTGTAGCAGGCTTGTATAGTGATGGGATGAAGGTAGTCGAAAGATCCATTTCTGAAGCCATTTTGCACAGATTGTTTGCAAGGCTTGTTCTGAACAAACCAACTTTCTCACGCAGAATTATGTGCAGTTGAGAAATAGAAGAAGCTGGAGCATATTGAGCTTATGAATAGCTAATAGCAAGTCCTAAGCTGACCCTCATCGCATAAACAGACTGTACGGCGTAAGTATACAGAGCTCCGCCAATTCAAACTTGTGGTTGTGTTACGTAAGCAATATGGACTTTAAATCACGTGCCTAAAACGTCACTGCGAATCTGGAGTGGCTGATGGTTGGAATCCGTTGAAACGTTCGACTTGCCCCGGAATTTCTTCTGCCTGTTGGCTTTGGGTATATAAGTTATCTTTCGCATCTCGTGATACATTTGGTCTCTCACCCTCCATACGCATTGCCACCATGTCGGAGGAAGACAAGAGTGTATGTGTTCCTAATCCCCCTTTCATATACTAAGTTACGGATAGCTTACACTTGGCTTCAAGACGTCTAACAAGCTGCCCGTGGGGCTGAACAGTCCCAAGCCGGAATCGCCCACGACCGCGCGTCCTTTGGATTTCGATGACGAGCCTCAAGAGACCGGGGTAGTTAATACTTCTGCCCCCCCAGGAACCGCTCAGCAAGGTGATATGGAAGCTGCCCCGCCAAAACCTCCGCGTCCATTAAGCCCCCGACAACAGGCCGAGAACACCCTTAAAGAAGCATTTCCATCTCTCGAAGGCTCGGTTGTTAAAGCTGTGCTGGTTGCTAGCAACTGGAATGTAGAGCGGGCGTTCCATGCTCTTCTGGGTACGTGTAGACTCAAGTCCGCGCTAGTGAGGATGTGTGGATGCTAACCTGTATCTCTAGGCATGACCGACCCTAATGCGCAAGCGGAAGACATACCCCCTCCGAAACCACCCCGGCCATCTGCGTCTCAAAGACAAGTGGAAGCGGATGAGATTTATGCCCGTCAATTAGCCGAACACTACAATCGCCGTGTGCCGCAGTCCCGCTGGGACGAGGAATCTCGTTATCGACAGAGGAGAGGCAGTGATGCATCTGATGAGAGAGACTATAGCTTCTTCGACGGTATGATATGTTGACACTGGGCTTTGCTTTTTACATTGTCTTTGCTGATAGATGTCTATAGATGATCTCCCTGTCATCCGTGATAATATTCGCAAGGGATTTGTGGACACCCAGACAAAGGTCAATTCGTGGGTGCAGAACTTAAAGAAACGTTGGGATGGCGAGGATATGGACGAGGCACAGTCTGGTCGAAGCTATGACGAAGAACCAAGTTACACTCGACCAAGGCGAAGTGGAGACTTGGGCCGTCGCAGTGGAGATCGCGAACGCTACGACGCAGACCCTCAGCTATTGGATGACGACTTTGCTGCTCTTGAGCTACGAGACGCCGAAGGTAAGGCTCTCGCGTTTTCAATTCCACTATCCTCGTGCTTGAAAACTGACTTGGATAATAGCTCCGCCCTCGCGTCCCCCAAGGCCACTTGCTAATCCAGACTTACACAAGACTTCGTCTTCTTCGCCCGACAGACGAAAGGTGTCCTTCCAGGAGGGTCCCCCGACAGAGATTGGCAGTTCTCAAGGTGCATCCGGATCGGCTAAGCCCGCCCCTCCTAGTAAGCCGAGCAAGTGGCAGCCTTTGACTACAGTTGAGCCATCTCCTGTCGGAGAACATGATCCATTCAGCCTTGGTGACAGCGAAGATGAGAAGGACACGAAGGCCAAAGACCAAAGCACTACTAGTGAGGCCGTGCAGTCTAAGAGAGCGACAGTAGAGGATGATAGCAATAAGGGAGAGGCAGGGAAGTCCTAGGTAGTTTTCCTCTCTTTCTTCTTGACTTTCCTAAGAGAACATAGCTTAAATTCTCCCAGCCTTTGCTGTTCTATTATTTGTTTTTATTGTTTATGATACCAAGGTTATCCCTGGGAGACAGTCGAACCCGCTATTTTATTTAATACAAGGAATATCATAACCAGTGGTCTGTGTGCACAAACAAAAAGAAGGGTATCGTATATCGTAGAACGAATAACAAGCCAAGCCGATAAACGCCAAACATCCAACCTATAAGCACCTAATCATTTAGGTATTCCAATCAAGTACAGTACCAGAACTTTTACTCCTGCATGATCTGCTCATCTGGGTAGTGCCCTTGAACAGCTGCCTCCCGTCGAAGATCTTTGATCACAGTCTATAGTTCAGGTCAGCTGCGAGGACCATTTAAACGCGGTGCGTTAAAAAGCATTAATGGAGAATTCGGAGAAGCATGGAACCCACCGCCAGCGCTTCCGGATTAACACCGTTCTCGATTAGCGATACACAAAGGGATAGCTCTGTCCGATCGAGATGCGTATTCTAGCCCGATTTAACTAGGATTAGTCTGTATATCCTATTGATAAACGGGAGGAATCACGCACGAGGAGCGTTGAGATCTCGTGAAGAATGTCGATAACTTCACGCGCGGCCTGGCGCTTGTCGTCGGCTTGAGAAGGCATAATTTGCAGAGTAGATAGAAGAGCGTTGATACCAAAGGAAACTTATTTTGCAAATTGAATCTAGAGGCTATGCGGTACGGTGCTGAGAGTGGTTGTCAGTGGATCGGGTGAGGCTCCGCGTTTTCGCGTCAAAAAACCTCAACCTCTCCCTATCGCCTCCTCAAACACCGTCAGAATACCACCATTTGAAACAGATTACAATTGGATTATATTACACCCTGATACGTCAATTCTAGACTGCCTCTCTAACGGTCTTGAATGTGGATCCCTCGAAAGAATGTTGGATATCACAATCTCGGACATTCATTCCTTAGGCCAAAAGGAAGCATTCGAGATTCTCGCACAGATTGCACGCGTCGAGAAAAAGGCATTCCCCAGCAATGAAGCTTTTCCCTTTGGCCAAGAGCTGTGGCGGAAGAAGCCCAATACACGAGTTCTATATGCTACCAGTGCCCCGGTCCCAGGTGTCCGTCCTGTTCTTATCGCGTATGCTGTCTATGTCCGGCAGAAGGGAGCAGCTCTACTACACAAAGTGTGCGTGATAGAGGCGCTTCGTCGACATGGTGTCGGACAGAGATTAATGGAGTATATCCAGCAGCGTCTACAAAAGGAAGGGTGCCAGTACATTCAGTTGTGGGTAGACAAAGTCAGGAAGCCTGCGCGAGCATTGTATACTCGCAACGGGTTCAAAGAACGGGAGGAGATCGCGAACTACTACGCCCCTGGACGTACTGGCATCAGGATGGTACTTGATCTTGAATGTGGTGTTTGATCCTTTCCTGTTCCTTTCAGCTCCTTGGAACCTTGGAAGCCTTTTGTAAACTCAAGGGCAAATGCCAGCGACACGAGGAGAGTTTCTCCTGCTCTCGCCCCTTCGATCGCTCCTTAATTGCCCGAAGGACGAGGAATCGGGGCAGTGGGTTAGGACTCGCGTTTTGTGTCTGAGTCCCAAGAAAGCAATATGCTCTCCCCCTTGCAGGATCTCTACATTCACAACATCAGATGGGACGGGGAGGAACTCGCTCCCTCTAACAACAGTGCTGGCACATACTTCGGTGACATCAAGCATATCTAGGTATGGCTTCGTGGAAGGGATTACACGCTTCGCGCTTCTCCTTGTCCGATAGCCCTTGAGCACGTCTACCTTGACGGTAGGCCATATTCACTGAAAGGGCCAATTATTCCTTCACTTTTCTTCTTTTTGTCGCCAATATTTCCCTGCTTTTAATTTTTCTTCTTCCTCTGAATGACTGTTTGCGCCAGAGTTTCCCCTTTCCTTTCTTCACCGACCATCTGCGTCTGTTAGGATATCGATCCGGGTTTCCTCGGAACCATCCCGGACGATGACGCTTCTTGGGTTGATTATCCTCGCGTTTGTGCTGGCTGTTAATGCAAGCCTGAGCGCAAACTATCCTGTGAATGCCCAATTACCACCTGTGGCTCGAGAATCCAACCCGTTCAAGTTTGTCTTTTCTCCAGGCACTTTTGGTGGCACTGATGCGGATACGAAATACTCGCTGGAGGATGCGCCGTCATGGCTTGCTGTGGAGAGCAAAAGCCGTACCTTGTCTGGAACACCTCGGTCGGAGGACGTTGGGGAGCAGAAGTTCAAGCTCGTTGCAGAAGGCCCGTCCGGGTCTGCGAGCATGGAAGTGACCTTGGTCGTGAGCGCAGAAAACGGTCCGCAATCTGGAAAACCATTGCTACCGCAACTCGAAAAGTTCTGTCCTACCTCAGCACCCTCGACGATCTTTGTGCGTCCTGGTGACTCGTTCTCGCTCTCGTTCGACTCGGAAACATTTGTCGGCACAGGGAATTCGACCGTATATTATGGAACATCACCGGAGAATTCGCCGTTGCCATCCTGGGTTCGATTTGATCCTGATGATCTTCGATTCTCTGGAACAACCCCAAAAGGTGGCCCGCAGAGCTTTACGTTCAACCTAATCGCATCGGATGTGCTTGGCTTCAGTGCCGTCACATACACTTTCGAAATGGCCGTCCGCCCGCATATCCTTTCGTTCAATAGTACCCTACAAATGTTTAGTCTGAGTCGAGGTGGCGAATTCATAAGCCCTGCGTTTCATGAGTACCTGACATTGGATGGCCGAAATCCTACGGAGGAAGATTTGACAGACATATCCGTGGAGGGTCCCGAATGGATAACTCTGGATAACAAGACGCTCACCTTGAGCGGCACCTCGCCATCTGACGCAAAGAATGAGAATGTCACCATCTCAATCACGGATGTTAATGAAGACGTGACCAATATGGTCGTCATTTTGCAATACTCGCAACTATTTCTCGATAGCGTTGCGGGGTGTGATGCAACTATTGGAGAGGACTTTTCATACACCTTTGACGAATCGGTCTTGACTGACGACTCCGTCGACCTTAAGTTAAATACAAATAAACAGCTCCCCTCATGGCTGCACTATGATACGGAGAAGAAAAAACTCTATGGCTCTGTCCCGGAAGACGCCAATTCCCAGAAGTACACCGTCGACCTGACTGCTACCAAGGGATCAACTGAGGATACGCGGAAGTTTACCATCAACATTGCGGAAGCAGGCCATCATGACAATGCCAATACCGACAAGTCCGTGGAGCCCGGAAGCGCGACTGGCACCAGTGGTAATAGTTACCAGAAGAAAGCTGGAATCATCGCCATTGCTGTTATTATCCCGTGCGTATTTGTGGCTAGCGCCATTGTACTCTTTTTCTGCTGGCGTCGCAAGCGCAGGGGAGGGCCCTCGCACAACAATGGAGACTTTCCACCAGAAAAACCACCAGCAGGTCCGAATGCTCAACCATCACTACCCCAATGCCAACCCTTTGAAGACACGATTTCACATTCAATGCCTCCCCCGGCCCAAGGCACTCCTCCACCTTCGCCGCCACCGAAATTGGAGCTGAAGCCATTCTTTGATGCAACTACATTCGAAAAGACAGATACTTTTGTAACAGAGGAACCGTTTGAAGATTTAATGGCGGACAAGGAGAATTCCCGACCACGATCGACCATTGGATGGGATTTCTCATCATTACACGAGCAGCCTGGACAGGGACCAGGACCTGAAGACGTGCTGGCTCAAGACAAGCGTTGTTCATTGTATGCAAGTCCCTCAGTTCGACGGCAGACCAGCCAACCCAAGAGACGAGAACCGCTCAAACCCATCCAAGGGCGGCGCTCGCTGAAACGTAATTCAGCAGCTTCGTCTCGTTCAAAGCGCCTCTCGAAGCAATCTAGTGGAATCTCCTCTGTGACTTCGGGCCTTCCTATCCGTCTCAGCGGAGCGGGCCATGGGGCAGGCGGGTTCGGTCCCGCTGGCCGTGGATCGTGGCACGCATCCATGCGGAATGACGAGGAAGGGCTTGGCAACCTAGCCCCGTTGTTCCCGCGACCTCCGCCGCGGGCACGGGAGAGCATTGAGTACGCCAGACGGGCGAGCATGCGCGCGCTCGGCCGGGAGGACTCGACCATTTCCGAGTCTGACTCGCTAGAGGCGTTTGTCCACACTCGCGCGAAGAGTAGGAACTCGACGAACCCGATGTTTTCGGGGCAAGGCAACCGACGAACATCTTTAGGGTTCCGGGCATTGGAACGGAAGCGGAGCACCCTTAGCCGGGCCGATACAGAATCAACGGGAAACTTCACCAACTATGACTACCGCCAGTCGCTGCAGGAACGACCGTATTCGATGGCGAGGTCGGCGTCGATATATACGAACGACAACCGGCAGTCAGTATATCTACCACCGACATCACGTGTGTCGTCATACATGCAAGCACCACCAGCAACCTACCCGAGTCAGTCGAGCCTGGCACAGAACTACCGTGATGTGCTCTCACCACTCCCGCACTTCATGACAGAAGCAAGCTTGACCCAGGGTGGTCGACAACTCGAGGACGTGGAGGAACATAGCACTGTGAACGGTGAATCACAATACGGCGGGGCTCATTTTAGGGAGCAGCGACCATCCGCACTACATAGGCGGTCTTCTTCTTGCTACGACTGGCGGCGGGTGAGCACATACACGACAGAGGAAGAGCTGATGCGGGGCCGATTACAGAAGAGCCCATCATTGCCGCTGGACGACTCCCGTGGGCGACGGATGAGTAGCCTGTGGTCAGCAGGTGTGGACAAGGAGAATGAGCCGAGAGGTATGTCAAGTGAACAAACATGGCAGACATTGAGCGTGGAAGACAGTCACGACTTTCCGCGTGATCGGACGGGGAGTTCATTTGGAACGTTTCTGTAGAAAGTGTTCTTTGCATGATATCCAGGTGATTTATTGTTCATTCAATGTTGGCATTGCATTTGTATTTTATGTTGATCTAAAACATGTACACCAGATGTCTTATCTAATACCATATAATATACAGTTGCATCCATATACTGAGAACTATACCTGTAGCCGTACCTTGGCCAACTTGTAGATACCTATAGTTAGCGGTAATAATGCCTAAAGTACCGATAAGATAATCATCTATCCCACCGCTCGGGGCAGCATGTGGCCCCGAAGGATTGTCAATCGAGCATCTTCGGGATAGATGAGAGTACATATTAAGTATGAAGTATTAGAGCATAGCAACAGGGATATGTATGCTTGATTTCTTTGTCTCTGTTGATCCTATCTCCTTCTTTGAGCACTTGATATCTTACTGCATTTAGACGGACTAGGCTACGTCCTCCGGGGGGGAGGGGGCGACCAACAACACCCCTCACTGATGTTCAACGCAGGGAATGACAGCCTAGAATAAGAGAGTTTCTCACGGAGGATTATGTATATTGAATAAGTACATAATTTACGCTATAATCAAGATATCTGTCTCTTTTGGCGAGTCAATTGGTTACTGTTTTCGGTCATATTTTCTATATTAGCGAATTTCGTCATCATCATCGAAGACCAAAAAAAAAAAAAAAAAAAGGACCAACAGAGAACAACCGGCAGCAATAATAATCAGAGTCAGAAAAGAAAAATAAAACATCCGACTGATTCTTTCTGTCTCTCTCCCTTTTATTTTTATTTTTTTTTCCCCCTTCTTTTATCATTCTGAGTCCAGATTGGAGTCATCTGGTTCTTCCCGCACGCCGCTCCGCTCCCCCCATCATCTGCTCTTCTCACTTTGCCAACTTCGCTTCTTTCTCTCCCTCCTCTTCTCTCCTCGAGCTGTCTACCAGAACCACTTCACCCTCAAAACTTCCAACTTCTCCTTTTTTCTTTTCTTTTCTTTTCTCTTTTTTATTATCTTGACATTGACACTACCTCCGCCTCTATCCTCTAATTGTTGCTCTCATCCTTTATCGGGTGTGGTGCATGTCCCTCTGACTGGCCTCAACAAGTTCCTCTTCCGGTCCTCTCCTTTTACTCTCCAGCGCGTTTAAAAACAACCCTCGAGCAAGAATTAAATCATGGGTCAGACTCTATCAGAGCCAGTGGTTGAGAAGGTATGTTCTTTTTTTTTTTCTTCCTGAATATCAATTTTCTTCGTTTTTTCCTCGGCCTGGCTGTCACCCCACATTGCAATTGGTCTGATGCAAATTTACACGCGGTATTCCCACAACCTGTTGAGCCAGTACCACTGGTGTTCTCTGTGTTCTCTGCTGCTTTACCTTCTTCTCCCCTTTTGATCCGGTTTGTTTTATACGGAAGAGAAAAAAATTTGGACTGCCCTTCCTCGTGTCATTTTTTCACCCGCAACTCACATTCGCTTCGAACACCCACAAAGGTCCTTCTCTTTTTTCCCCTCCCCTACCCCCATTCTTGTGGAAAACCAGAGAATATGTGCAAAGGAAATAAGGACTGTTCTCCTTATTGTTTTGCTGTTCACCTCCAAACCACCCCTGAAATCATCGCTAACAACAGGACCCGTCTAGACTTCCTCCGAGGGTCAGGATGAATGCTGTATCTACGGTGTCTCAGCTATGCAGGGCTGGCGAATCAGCATGGAGGACGCCCACGCTGCCGTGCTAGACCTCCAGGCAAAATACACAGAGAATACCGACAAACCGACCGACCCCGCCAAGCGACTGGCCTTCTTCGGTGTATATGATGGTCATGGTGGAGACAAGGTGGCATTGTTTGCTGGGGATAATGTCCACAAGATTGTCTCGAAGCAGGACTCGTTCGCTAAAGGCGACATCGAACAAGCGCTGAAGGACGGCTTCTTGGCCACGGATCGGGCGATCTTGGAAGGTTCGTGTGTTCTTCGGTTGTTGGTTGGGAGGGTCGACGATCCGTTTCGTTCTTCTTTTCTACAATATTCTCATTTGTCTTTACCCCCGCATTACGACTGACTCCGTTAGACCCGAAATACGAGGAAGAAGTATCCGGCTGCACAGCTGCAGTCAGCGTCATCTCGAAGCATAAGATTTGGGTGGTATGTTTTACATCACGCATGGCAGCTCCATTGATGGGAGGGAATTCTAACGGACGACTCGATATAGGGCAATGCAGGTGATTCGCGCTCGGTTTTGGGTGTCAAGGGCCGCGCAAAGCCCCTCTCGTTCGACCACAAACCACAGAACGAAGGTCCGTGGCTACCATTCTGATTTCTTCCTTTTTTCCTTTCTGATATTTTCTTCAATTGTAGGCGAGAAGGCTCGTATCAGCGCTGCGGGTGGCTTCGTCGACTTTGGCCGTGTCAACGGCAACCTGGCCTTGTCTCGGGCCATTGGTGATTTTGAATTCAAGAAAAGCGCCGAATTGTCACCAGAACAGCAAATCGTGACCGCTTATCCCGATGTGACCGTCCACGAACTCAGCGATGATGATGAATTCCTCGTGATTGCATGCGACGGTGCGTGAATTTTGCTTTGGACTTTCCTTTCCACTCCCTCTACTTCCGTCCCAGTTAAACTAACGCATTTGTCTGGTCATATAGGAATCTGGGATTGTCAATCTTCTCAACAAGTCATCGAATTTGTCCGGAGAGGTATTGCCGCCAAGCAGGATCTCCATCGCATCTGCGAGAACATGATGGACAATTGTCTCGCGTCAAACAGTGAAACCGGTGGTGTCGGATGCGACAATATGACCATGGTAATTGTCGGCCTTTTGAACGGCAGGACTAAGGACGAATGGTACAGCCAGATTGCAGAGCGGGTTGCGAACGGGGATGGCCCTTGTGCGCCGCCTGAGTACGGCAAGTCTCTCGAGGAACCTACGGCCTCCAATCCCTACTGACTGATGGGGACAGCTGAATTTCGTGGCCCTCGCAATCGGAACCGATTCGTGGCAAACCCGGACGACTATGAAATGGACCTTGACCGATCCCGTGGACTCAGTGGCCTCCGCTCGGGCCGGATCATCGTCCTTGGAGATGGAACCGAGGTGATTCCCGACCAGAGCGAGGAGTTGTTCGAGCAAGCCGAGGAAGATCAGGAAGAGCCTTCGACTACCGGCCAGGCGCAAAGTGAATCCCCCGACACCACCCGGAACGATCGCGAAGATACCCCTGGGCCCCAGGCTAAGAGTGAAAGTGGTTCGGCCAATATATCGGAATCTCCTGCTTCCACGACGGCGAACAACAATACCAGCGGGGCAGAGAAGAAGTCCTCGTAGTTTGATTGATTGACCGTCCTCTTTATTCTTTTGGCTTTTGACAACGATACATTGTGATTTTACGACGTGTTTTATTTCTTCTCTTATTCCCCTCGTCATTTTACCTTCAATGTTATGTACCCCCTTATCTGTTCTTTTATGTGATAGTGATGCGGCGGAACGGTGAGGAGTTTTATTCCATTTTCTTTTCATTCTGGTCCCATTTCTACGTCTTCTACTTCTCTGCTATTGCTGGAGACCATGGGGATCAGAGGGTTTTACCATATAGGATAGCGATGGAACCCAACCGCGAGCGGTGAGCCTCGACGGGAATGCGCCTTGGGGGTTTATGCTTTGATATACAAGATACCGCAGAAAACGTCGACTTTGATATATTCATTCTTTTCCGGGGGGAAGAGGGAGGGGGGATGTATGGAGTTTTATATTTAGGGCACTTCTTCCGATGACAAACGATGATGGTTGCATCCCCGGGCTGGTCCCGTGATTCAGGGTACTTCCAAAAGCGGTATGGCGTAGCTATGGTGAGATCGCCCCGCCGACTCCACCCGGGGGATAAATCACGTGCCTACAAATCCCGCATTACGGTAATATAAGGTAAGATACGCCGTGAGAAATTTTTAAACGTGCGTCTTCACGTCAATTACTGGAGAGATAGAATCATTAAGAGCGAATGGAAACGAGAGCAGTATCTAAAATAGTGTACCCGTAGTGGAAAAATACAGAGAAGGGGGAAAGGTTTAATACACGGGTCAGGAACCCTGAAACTAGCGGAGTAATACTCCGTACCATCAACGGTAATAATGCTCCCCCTTAAAGTTAGGCCTAAGGCCGTCAGGCGGTCATCGTCATCCATCGGCCATTTTCCTCGTCCGTCCTTTCAACAATCTCTCTTCTTCCCCCGATTCTCCATTGCATTTCCCATCTTTGTCGTTTTCTTCTTTCTTTCTTTCTTTCCTTCGTTTTTTTTTCTCTTGTTTGATATTTATTTCCCTTTTTCGTTATTTGATCTTATATAATTTTGTAATTCCCATCCACAAATTTCGACAAAAGTCAGGCCACCATGTCGTCTCCGACTTCTGCCTCAGGCAAACGCAAGCGCAGCGCGTCCCAGACACTGTCCGTCCAAGTTCCAAAACCGGATTTCCTGCAGCCCTCATCGCGTGATGCTTCGGGTGAAGACGGCGGTGATGAGTCCACCGGTTCTGCAATTCCGTCGCCCGGTAGACAACAGCAACTGCAAACATCCGCAACCGGCGCGACCGGTGGTGCTGTGCCCACAGCCAAGCGGGCCCGCACGTCGTCCGTCTCCAATGGCGCGACTGACGCGAAGCCGAACCAAGATCCCGGCGAGCCGTCCGAGACGACCAGCCCGAGCAGCGACATCGAGAATGACGACGAGAGGGCAATAGATGCGAAGAGGAAGACGTTGGAGCCACCAGAGAGAGCGGGGTTGATGGATCCGGTTGGATACTCAACAAACCCCCCGCCGGTTGGGCGGCCGATCCGGGTGTATGCGGACGGTGTTTTTGATTTGTTTCACATGGGGTGTGTTTCCTTTATTTACTATGGCCTGTATTCATCGAGTACTAATGACTTAGTCACATGCGACAACTTGAACAGGCTAAAAAAGCATTCCCGGACGTGTATCTCATGGTCGGGGTTACAGGTGATAGAGAGACACACGATCGCAAGGGTTTGACGGTCTTGAGCGGTGCGGAACGGGCGGAAACCATTCGTCACTGCAAATGGGTGGACGAAGTGGTTCCCAACTGCCCATGGGTCGTGACGCCGGAATTCATCGATGAACATCAGATTGATTATGTGGCACATGACGATCTTCCGTACGGTGCGGCCGAGGGTGATGACATTTATGCCCCGATCAAGGCGCAAGGAAAGTTCTTGGTTACTCAAAGAACAGAGGGCGTTAGCACGACAGGTATCATTACTAGGTATGCTTTCTTTTCTAAGAGAATTGATAGCCAGGGTCTAACTGAGTTCAGAATCGTTCGTGACTACGATCAGTACATCTCCCGTCAATTCAAGCGCGGTGCCTCGAGACAGGAATTGAACGTGTCGTGGCTGAAGAAGAACGAACTGGAAGTCAAGCGCCATGTGTCCGAAATCCGCGATAACATCCGATACAACTGGGCCTCGACAGGCCAGGAACTTGGCCGTGAATTGCGTCAATTCTGGCAGAGCCGGCCTGGCAGCCCGGCTCCCAGTGCGAGAAACAGCCTCGACTTGGGTTCGCGCGGTGTTACCAGCCCAACAGGCAATGGCCCTAAAAGCCACTTGTCGCGAGTAGAATCGATTAGTCGTCCAGAGAGCCCAATGGGGAATGGACGTAACGAGGACTTCGCAACAGGCTATAGCCTGGGACTGGTAGGGGGTGTTCGAGCGTGGGTATGTTTCTTTAATGTTGCTACAGAATGCAAATGCTAAAACTATGCCTAGATGATGCGCACTCGTCGCTCGTTGATGGAGCAGCCCAGTCGGCCTCAGTCGCCAACAAGCGAGGAAGAGCACGAGACCGACCAAGATGCTCGCCGCCGACAATCAGAAACCCATGCCAACACGCATGCCAACACGGCACCAGTCCACTCATAAAAGAAATGACGAGTGATGTTGGTTGAGCAAGAGAAGGAAACATACATTGAAACAAAACAAAAACAAAAAAAAAAAGAAAAATAGGTGGGATTTATGCATCCGCGGCTATTACCATGACATGTACTGTACTTGTTAAGTTGCTTTATTTTGAAGGTCTGGGGTATATCATAGAAGATTGTTGGGATATGATAATATACGGCGTTATTGGTAATGTTTAATCTAGTGAACTCTGCTACTCCGTACATACAGAGTACAAAGACAGTCATTGGTCCGGATACCCTCCGTCGGCGCCAATGAGCCTATCCTCGGAGGGCTCCGCTCTGTGGGGTAGCATCGTCATGGTCATGTGATTGCTGTCTCTCCTTTTGTATACTTTGTGCTGGATATAAATCATCAATCGTGACTTACTTTCGTCAAATCAATCTGTCGGAATCCCACTAGACATTATGGCCTTCTCCCCCATTCCTTTCATCTGCATGCTGTACCTGCACCTGCACAACATCACCCCGCGGCTCCCTCGCCATAGCCACATAGATCGCACTCACCAGAATCAACCCGGACCCCGCCCAACTCATCGCCGACAGCGTATTCTTCCAAACAACCTCATCATAAAACAGCGCAAATAGCATCTGCGTATACACCATCGACGTTGCGCGGTTGCCCGACCCAGCCGCCTGCCCCGGCGGAACATACGCCAACCCCGCTGTGAGCAGGAACTGCAGCAGAAACCCGCACACGCCCAGCGCAACCAGCAATGTCCACTCGATGCCCGTCGAGGGCAGCTTGAAGTCCACAGAGGGCAGGACGGCCATGGCAATGCAAGATATGAGCGTTGAGTAGACAGAGAAGTAAGTTACGGAGACGAGTGGGTGGGCGCGTTTGCCGATCATGCGGATTGTGGTGTATGCGCAGGCCGCACCTAGCACGCCCACTAGAGCCATCAATATCGCAAGTAGATGGTGCAATTCGTCGGCTTGCGCGCCGTCCGAGGGGCTATCTGAGGGTGCGCTCATTGGGGAGAACGGTCGCGCGATGAGGACCACTCCGCCTAGCGATACCACGCCTGCTAGCTGCTGTTTCCAGGTAAATGTCTCATGGGCCACGAATAAGGAGGTCGCGTAGCAACTCAGGATCGGTGCCAGGAAGGTTAAGACCGTCGCTTCGGAGAGAGGGAGGTATTTGACTGAGTAGTATAGTCCAAAGACACCGAAGAAGCCACCCACGGCTCGTAGTGTTAGTAGGCCAATGACTGGTCGACGGCCAAGGGGGTCAGGGACTTGCGCGTACCACATGTAGAGGTAGCTGGCGATGACTGTGATGGACATGCGGGCGAAGAGGATCTACTTTGTTAGTCGGGGTAAAACTATATTCAGAGCAGTGAGCAGTACCTGAAAAGGATCCATACCAGCACCACGCTCTCCATCAATCTCAAGATACTGCGTCATGACATTCATACTAGCGCCAAAGAACTGCGACAACAATACCAGGATCATGCCTTTACTCTGGAGCCAGAAATCCTGTGTTTTCATCCGCCATTGCGCCCATCGCGATGTGCTTTCATCGTTCAGTTCCTGCGAAGAAGGTCTTAACAGCGGTGTTTGAGCGTCGTCTAGGTTCGATGGGAGAATTTGTCTGCTTTGTGCTTGTGTGGACGAACTGGTTTTGTGTGGAGCCATCTTGTGGTGGGAATGTACTCCGTACTCCAAAGTAGGAAGAGGGGAAGTGGAACAAGTTCAGCTGAGAAATAAATCTCAACCTTAGGTTAAGGCTGAGTGCAGATCAGCTGAAGATCAGATCACATGTACATCCTGCCCTAGAATTGTATGCTTTACAAGATACTCTACAGAATACAATACTATACAAAAGTAAACAAATCCCCACCCCGTTCCCGCAACATATTCCCAACCCGCTCCGTCCCGACAATCCGCTCCAATTTCATCGCATCCCATTTCGAGAAAATCGCCCGCACCCCTCTCTCCGCATTTTCGACGACTTCCGTCGGATCGATTCCCAGGAACCCGACAACCTCTTTCCAGAAGATCGGGTTCTCAGGTACACCGTACATAACAATGTGCTTGACGCCGCGGATGTCGAATCGTCGGAAGTGGTGCAAACGCTCACTATACAACAGCACTGAATGTCTCCCGTTCATAAAATGCGATCGCGCACGCATCATGTCCCGCGCGTCGGTGTATTCGGAGATCGCGCCAAAAGACACGTTGGTTGTCTGCTGCGATGTCGCAAAGTAGTTGCGCACACGGACAAAGTCCAGATACGACGGGATGAAGATCAATGTACCGCCTGCGGCAGGGTTCCTGCCACGCCCGGCCGTAATGTCTTTGACCAGCGATGAGAGTATAGTTGTCGTGAAGTGCTTGAATCGCGCATCAGGATCCTTGTCTGGTCTGAGACAGTCGAATCGTGCGAATGTTTGTTTCGGGGATACGGGTAGTGCTACTTCTGTGATCGCACCACTATATACTGGCGTGGCCTTGATCTTGCCAGCTACGTTCTGCATGTGCGATGAGAAGACCGAATTGATCTCTGGTGTCACGTATGAAGAGGCCACGACCATTTGTCGGACGTGTCGCGCTTGGTTGTCCAAGTACCATGACCGTACACGACTGAAGTCACATCCGTGTGCTTGCTTCGGCTGCTGGTTCAGGTGTTGCAGAACGTAGTCGACGTGGTCCCAGTTTTGCATTTGCAGTGCGTCCGCGTGATCGACAATCACCACTTCTATCGATGACAGAAAATCGTGGTCCCGCTTTTTGGCGCTGCGATGAGTTAGAGGAGTAGAAAATTTTGCCAGTTTAGAAAACTTACTCAGCTTGGTCCATAATGGTCCGTAACCCAAGCGGACTCGCCAGGATCATGTCTGAGTTGTAGAACTTCGCAAAGTATTTGACCGTCTTTCGAGTAAACTTCAGACCCAAGCGGAACATGTCATCATCATTTCCACCAAACAAGTCCTTAAAGTCCTCGGGCTTATTCTCCCAGCCCTGATCTTTAGGTCCGGAAAAAGTGTCCATGAACCGCTTCTTGTTTTCTTGCTGCTCCGGTTGGTAGAATTTGATGAGGGAGTTAAGCACCCGTACACAGGCTTGTCGCGTAGGCAGTAGGTAAAGCACCTTGGGTCTTGTGAATCCTTGGTCTCGAAGGTCGAGGTCGTTGTCCGGCTCTTTGGCATTGCGTGCATTGTTCTTCAACACGCGGTCTCGAGTCTTCATCACATGATTTGCGGCGTGAACGGCCAAAAGATCCAGCAAGGTTTCCTGGTTCTCACTCGTCCTGGAACCGTACAAGACGTCCTGATAGTCGAAAATGTATGGCGCAAGATGCTGGGCGTGGCCTTCGATACCGGGGATGTATTCCTTAGCGGGAGCTACCAGTTTTCTTTTGAGCTGCTCAGGTATTAGTATGCTTGAATAGAGGTGACAGTCCTTACATGCGTACCTTGACATTTGCCATGCTTTTCATCGCCGGTAGTAAAGTTTCCTCACTCCCATCCTGTTTTGGAACACTGCGAATTAGTCGCAGACCATTAACCTCCTTTCTGACTATATTCCAGTTATTTTTCGCCACGGCCTGTATCTTCGGAGATAAGTCGTTCTCAGTTGGGGCAGAAAAATGCGAGTCAAAAGGATCGGTGGCTGGGAAGTCAGCTTGCGCAACAACCAAATGAGTGGAAAGTAATTACCATCTTCATCGTCGCTGTCACCCTTTTCATCTTCATTCTCGTCGTCCGTAAATTCCTGAGCCTCCAGGTCTTCTGCCTCATCCTCGTCCTCTTCTGCCTCATCATTGACTTCCGGCACCAATTCCTCGTCTCTTGAGTTCTCAACTTTCCTCTTCTTTCGAGCCGGTCCTTTAGATTCGGCAGTTGGTTGGAGCAACTGGAGCAACTCGTTATACGGCCGGTCTGTTTGCTGGTCTTCTTCTTCCTCGCTGTCTGATGATCCGACATCCATGGGTTCGCCGTTCTCGACCTCACTATCCGGTTGTTCCTCAGGCTGTTCGCTTTCTTCGGAGGGGTCATCCGACCTAACAGACCAGTTAGCCTTATGATTCAATGAACAGAATCGTAATGCTCACTCTATCTCCGCGACTCGGGCACTCGAGAAGCCATCTCTACGACCTCGCGAGGCTCCTCCTCTCCCTCTCCCTCTCCCTCCTCTCCCTCTGCCCCGACCACCTCTGCCACGAGGAGGCGCCATGTTACCCTGGAAGTATTATAAAAATAAGTTATTAAATAAAAGATTGAGCTTGAAATAAGCAATGCGCTGTGATGTTGGCGTGGATTGTATGTACCTTGTTTTTCGCTCTTTTTTTGCTCGGTGCTTATCTTATCTTAGCGCGAAATTTCCCACACACATTTTGAGCCGCCGAAGTTCCAGCGGGCGGAAAGAATCAGAGAGCAAAAAGAACTCCACCTCAACCGGCACGATCTCTAATTTTCAGTGAGAGGGACAGTTTGAGTTAGGACGCGAGCAGAGAGCCGGGATTATTCGATATATTTATTCACCATGGCCGGAACCGATTCTTTCGTCCACCTTGCTCGCCCTCTGGGCCCAGCGACAGTGGGGTCTGCACCGACGACTGCTCCTTTGAACGTCGTTATCCAGCCTCAGGTATGTTGGTAGTGATTATCGCGATGAGGACGGGGCTGCCGTCGGAGTGGCCGTCGGAGTGGAAACATGGCTAACGAGGGTAGGCACTTTTCTCCATCCTGGATCATTCCCTCCGTCGCAACGCCGACCAGGAGCGTGTCATCGGAACCCTGCTTGGAACGAGATCTGAAGATGGAACCGAGGTGGAAATCCGCAGTACCTTCGCTGTCGGACACACAGAGACGACGGACCAGGTCGAGGTGGACATGGAGTACCAGAAACAGATGCTCGCGTTGCATCTTAAGGCCAATCCCAGGGAATTCCTTGTCGGGTGGTACGCCACATCGTCCGAGTTGAACACCTTCTCCGCTTTGATCCAGAACTTCTACAGTGGCCAGGGTGACGGTACCTGGCCCCACCCCGCTGTTCACTTGACTGTCTCTACGGAACCCGGGAAGGACATCGAGACCCGTGCCTACATCTCCGCCCCCGTCGGTGTGACTGCTGAGAGAGCCGCCGACAGCGCCGCTTTCGTCCCCGTCCCTTACGAGATCCGATATGGCGAAGCTGAGAAGAGTGGATTGGAGGCCGTTGCCAACGCCAAGGACACAGAGAACCGGACAGCCAACATCTTCACCGATATCGAGGCTCTGGAGCGTGCAGTTGAGGAGGTCCTTGGCATGATCGACCGTGTCTCGAGATACGTTGAGTCTGTCATTGACGAGGAGGCTCCTGCTTCGACAGCACTGGGTCAGTTCCTTCTCAATGCTCTTGCACTGGCACCCAAGGTGGAGCCGGCTGACATTGAGCGCGACTTGTACGTTTCCATTACTATTGAATGTCTCTTGTTGATATCCATGCTAACCAACCGCAGCAACAACCACATCCAGGACGTCTTGGTGGTGTCCTACCTTGCCAACACCATCCGCACCCAGATGGATCTCTCCAACCGGTTAGCCACTGCCCAGCTCACCCTTGGTGGCGGAGAAGGCTCTGGAGAAGGTCAACAGCGCGGCCAACGAGGCGGCAAAGGGAACCGCGGTGGACAGCAACGGACTCAAGAGCGTGGTGGTGAAGAAGCCCGCGCGTAAAGAGAAATGAATGGATGAATGACAAGTAACATGTGGAAATAATTTCTTTTCTTTTTACGGTTTTCTTTTACCCTTTCCGATTTTCTGGTTGATTTCTTATTTATCTCTTCCTCTTTGTTCTTCTTTCCCGGGTCTTTGTCTCGTCTCCCGTTCTGGGATTCTTTATCATTTGATGGCTCTTTCATATTTTGGCATGGAGCATCTAGCTGCTGCCGGGACAGCACAAAATATAGAAGAAAAGAAGGAAGAAAATGGCGTATGGGAGTCATCTGGCCTTTGATCAGATCAGGAAAAGACTAGAAAAGGAGAGGTGTACAGTGAGAAAAGAATAGGGCTTCTGCCTGGTTTTACGCAGAGGAACGAATTCATGAATGTAGACCAAAATGAGCAGTTTACAGAGAACAATATGCCATTTTCCTAATAGACAAGCTAATGATGCCCACTCTATGCATCTACTGCATGGGTTGAGCACTTCCCTGAACGTTGAGCTCATTGCTGGCACCAGGGATGTTAAAGCCAGGCGCCAGTCATGCCACATCTGAACCATTCTCTTAGAGAAATGGCTTATCCGAGTCTGCTGCAAAAACCTCGAATCTTCGTCCTCTACCAATGCATCCCCAATAAATTCACACATCGCCACAAGGATACGGCCAACTGGGCTGAGATCCCTCAGCTTGAATCTGCACAAGATTCTCGCCCCGGCGCGGATATTCAAGATTTCGATGAACCGTGGGTCTTTGTTTTCTATCTGTCGAGATACGCAGAATGGGTAGCCAACCCCATAATGTTCGTCAAAAGCAAGTATCCATTTGTTTGCGAGATTGGAAACTTTGTCTTTGTAGTATGCGATAGTACTGATGCCAGCTAAAACATTGCCGTCGTGAGCATGATTGCCATCAATGCATACGCTGCACGGTCTGTTCATTTATTGGGGACTCTGATTCTCTCCAGTTGCGTCTGGGTCTTAGCACATCAGGTTCATATATTCTGACATTTTTTCGCGTTGGGCGATTGTTATATGGGAAGGGGACATGAGACTGTTTGGGTCTTCGTTGGAGTAGGGGTCGATATGATACGGTCACAAAAACAAACTATTGTTACACAATTTAAACAGATAGCGCTAGCTAATATGCTCGACACTTCCCCTTTCTCTGAAATCGGTCCAGTCATTTTGTGCTGGCGTAGATGTTGATGCTTCAACAATTTTCGGATTCTCTATCTGCATTTTATAGGATGCGCATAATGCGTGGCTTACTCCATAGTATTCCTTAAAGTCCCCGCCTGACTATTGTTGTGCTTAGGATCTATTGTCTTGCATTTGTTAGTCTGTATCCAGATCCGCAAGGATATGACCTCCGTGGGCGGCGTCATTACGCCTGATATGAACCATATCACTGGCTTTGACCTTCATACATTCATCCCGCACGATGTTGCAAAGCAGGCATACTTCCTCTCTCAGTACCTCAAGGTAGACCAGGCTCTCTCCAGGCCATCCGCATTCCAATTCTCTTCCGTGAGATGTCCACTATCGTTATCGCTGGCCTCAAAAAGCTGTGCTTTCACTTGATCCCCCTGACCGTGCGTAATATGACGCAGTGCGGTTCTTTTCCAGTCCTACTTTGCTACATTAGGATGGCAGAGCTGTGTTTCTTTAGCGCGGACCAACCCCAAGACTCTGACACTGATGGTGAATGTCGATCACCGTTTTGCTGCTGGCCATCGTCTTAGGGCCATTTCGAAAATTGCAGCCAGTTATTGCCTTGCCTGACGCTGGACTGGTCACTGACCAGATTTGAAAAGATAGGGGAAGTGGACGACGTAGATTTGGGCGACAGAAGCCACTTGGCTGTCTGGCAGCTCGTTGTGTCGTCATTTATGTTCTTGCTGCGATATGCTTTTGGTCGTACTGGACAATCAGTTAGAAACAGACAAGGAAATTCGAGAACTGGAGGAAATGCGAAGCAGAAGTTGAGGCACGAAGATGAAGAGGTAGTGGTCTTTTTGGTAGAGCACGGAAGGTATGATCTGAGCAGTCGGGTGGTGCAGTGGATTAAACCAAGGGTAGACAAGAGTGAAGTAAAAGAAGTGGGTTTGTCAGTAGGCATGCTATAAGAAGATGGATGGGTCTTTTTCATTCAGAGTGAAAATGCTGTATTTGTGCCCTGCAAAACCCGAGGTTACTGGGCTCATGTATAGTCATTAATCAGTGTGTTCTTATTCCCATTGCATAAAAGACCGAAATAATGCTTCTGTAAATAACACTTTACTCTGACTTTCTTAATAGAATCACAAAATGATTAGATACAACTAACCTCGCAAACGCCAATCCAATGCGGACGATGATATAGCCTTCACAGAATTCAGAAAAAGAATCCTTAACGCCCGAATCCCAATTACCCAAATGGCCCGTAACCTCAGCCTTGACCGGCCGTTTTCCGTTTCTTCGAGATCGTCTCCTCAGTCGCATCTGAATCCCTCCTAGCACCCCTCTTGTTCTTGCCCTTATTCTTCTTCCCTACAACCGAAGCTGCATCTCCGTCCTCATGTTCATCCACCCCCTTCTTCCCAGCATCCTTCAAGTTCGCAATCTGATCATCATTCTGATCGAATGCCTTCCGCGCTTCCTTCAACTCGCGCTCCATACGTAGCAATTCCTGAACACGACCGAGCTTGTTGGGGTCACGGCGCAGTGCGAATCGGAAATCATCCACCTTGATCTTTTGGCGTCGCGAGTAGGAGGCGTACTGCGCGGCTCCGTGGCACATTTCGAGGATGAAATCGGTGACGATCTCGTCAAGGACACGGACTGTTTCGGGAAGAGGTTCAGACGGGAATGACGGATGGGGACTTGGATCTCCGTAGGCGAGAAGGAGAAGTCGGACTGTATATAGATGAGCATGTGAACATCTTATCGAGCGATAACTCAATCAGGGTATAAATGCATACGCTCAGATGGAAAGTTCATCTGGCCCTTGTGCCTGGCAACACGCGCTCTTGGTTCCGCCATTTTCTGCTCGATTTTCTCAATCTGGGGGAAGTTTGTAGCAATTATTATATTTGATTCGACCTTGAATGTTTGAGGGTTGAGCACCGCGGAGGTGACAAAGCGGTGTTTCGGGCGGTAGAGCATGGTCATTCTGACGGCAGTATCAGAATGACACTCAACGTTGGCCTCACGATCTGGAGATCCCGCGTTCGTCTGCATAGTCGAGCTTGTTATTGTGATTAATCCGTCTTGTCTCTGTTCGATTGTGTTGCTATATTGGAAAAGGGAGAAATAAAAGTCAGGAACTAGCAACTGAGAGAACTTATATACCACTACGTCTCCCAACATGGTAAGCGACCATCCATGAGCAATACCAGTATAGAGAGCAATATTAACGCTACATTCTTGATAGTCTGCGCTCTTCAACTTCCAATCCCTCCTCGTGGTCATCCTACTCATCATTTGTACAAGTACCTATGCTCACTCCATCATGCCGGGGATCATGGACCGCAACCAGAATGGGTAGGGCGTCCCTACTACCTCCTCGACTATTGGAAGGCTTTTAACTAATTATATACGTTCGTACAGCTTCTTTGGGATATTCTGGAAATGTGCTCGGGTTGGGGAACGTCTTAGTCCGTACGTCAGTATTTGTTGTGTTCTGATGGCTGTGAGTATCCCCTAATATGTGCCGCTTCCTGGTTTTGGACAGGAGACTAACACGGATATCTTACCAGATTTCTATTTTCTTTGGCGGTTAGGTTGGGTTGAAGAAGAATTGAAGAAAATAGAAAAATACGAGTATGTGCATCTCGGAATTACGTGCGTTGCTCTATAATATTTCATACGATACATTGTCATGATTATTGCTATTGTACATAGAAGCGAATTTTTACAGATCAGCAAACAGCCGAATATCCAATGCAACACCAATGCTCCCGGTTCTGATCCCCTTTCTTCCAAACAGCCCAATCAAAAAGATATCTCATGCAACTAATACTTGGCTTTCTTTTTCTCAATCAAACGTCGCAAACCTTGCTCGAGTAGTTCCTCATGTTCTCTCGCCGCTTCTTCCTCTGGAGATCTGGTTACCCGTGGCTCAGGGGGCTTCTGTTCCCTGACTTTCGCTTCTTCGCGACTCATGGATTCGACCTGATCGAACTCATCCATAACCTCCCACAGTCGTTCAGGGTTATGCAGGTAGCGCAGACTCCTCATGGTATACTCATCGACCACGAATCCCTGCTCTTCCATTGTCCGGATTGCCATGGCAAGGTCCGGGATATTCTGGGCGTTTGCGTAGCCGTTGATGACGGTATTCCAGACGACCTGGTTATATTCGATGTTGTGTTTAGCCATCATTTCCTTAACTTTTTCCGCCGCATACGGCTGCTTGTTGTAGAGGAATGCGCCGAGTAAGATCGTCCATGTCTGAGCAGCAGGTTTTACATGGTTGATGGTTCTTTTCTCAGACTCGTCCTTGACTGTGATGGTGGGGGGTGATTGCAACATATCTTGGACGATTCGTACACAGAGTCGCATTCCATGAGGGTTATCACGTAAGGTAGTGAGGAACACATTATATGTATGATCCGTTGCTGCCAGCGGAGCAAAATGCTTGTGGCCCTGCAGCACAAGACCCCGGAACCTCAAGTAAATGCGCTCGACGTGCTGATAGCGACGCTGACAACGGAAATATGTGGCGATAACTAGGAATAATGCTATTAAGGTCGGCTGCTCGTTGAGGCCCTTCACTGTAGGTGTATACTCGGACGGGACGAGGAGGAGTTCCTTCAAGGGGGTGATGTCGTATAACTCGACGTAGAGATCCAGCATAGCGTAGAAGATCCGGCTCGGTTCAATTTCAGCGTCCATGTTCTTTGCCACGAAAGCATAATAAGCGTGCATAAGTTTGCTTGCGACATGGGAATTTCTGCGAATCTCCGGAAGGCCCTCAATTTCCTTGATTAATGTTGAAACACGTTCTCGATCGCCGCGGGCGACGGCATCAGTGAGTAGTATGCTATACGTATAAGCATCGAAATCGTAACTGCGGTTTTGCATAAAATCCAACACATCAAGCCCCAGCTGGGGATCGCCTGTCCTGAATGCATTGAGAAGGACGAGGTTCATCATGTCCCTGTCAGGTCGAATTCCCATCTCAAGAAGTTTCGGAAGAATGCGAAAATTGCGGCCGTTCGGCCCATCTGCCACCGAGTCAAGTGTCAGAATTTTACAACAATGGCGCATAACCCCTGAGGAGTCCATATTGAACCGTTCATCATTGAGCGTGGCGATGTACTGAAAGGCCTCTAGTGCCCGTTCAGCATCCTGGTGTTTGACGAAACCCCTGACAAGATTCAGAATGTTCCAACCACCCAAGTTATGACCCTCTTTCATCCATTGAAGAACGTTGCATAGCCCGCTGTAATCGGTACAGGCCATGTAAAGCCGGAAAGAGTTCTGAGGCACCTTGGCAATGGGCCAATTTTTGCGATCTAGACAGGTTTGTATAACTGACGCATGTGTGAGAGACCCTTTGCTCCAATATACCCATTCCTCGGGATAGTGAGTGGCTAAAAACTGAAAACAATCCACAACCATTCTGCAGTCTGGCTTATGGCTGCTCTGTGCAGTTATATATAAGAACTCCGGCATGGCAAGTGGTGAACGCTGGAGCAACCAGAGCGCTAAACGCTGCCAATGTGCAGCCTTCACTTGTATTTCCAGCCCTTCCCACGCTGTCTTGAAAGACCCAAGGCAGTCTTTTTGGATCATCCCTATCAAATTTCGTGCATCGTCCAACAGATTGAACACCGGTTCTTCACTTATTGCCCGGGGTGTTGTATTGTGCTGTTTCGCCCATAAAAGCGTGTTCAATGCCGAATCCCATTGCTCAAATTTTGTCTTCTCTGAATATAAGAAAGTCACCTTTGGGTCCAACGACAGACTTCTCAATGACACATCTTCGTCCACAATATTCTCAATTTTGGGTTTTACTCGGCGATTGAACCAGTCCACATACTTTTTCGGGATTTCCCCTCTCCTTAGAATCTGTGGCGTGGGGCCAATGCTGTTTGGCTCGTCGGAGCGGCTACCTTTATGGAGGGGTTGAGGGGCCTGCTGGGTAGAATCCCGAGTGTCATGCTGCGGAGGTATTGATGAGCCTGGCGCGCACGTATCCGGTCGACATATTTCAACAACACGATTGTTATCAAGAAAAGTCGAAGGGTTGTGGTAATCAGTTTGTAGAGAGGGAGGAACATCTTTCACAATGTCTTTATGTGGGACGGCGGAGGACTCTTCCACACTCCCAACCCCGGAAGCCGCAGTATTCGAGTATCGCGCATGACCGATGACATATATCGCACTGTTCGATTGTGTCCTCGGCCGATGCCAATGTCTCAGACTTGTCCTGCGTTGCGGAGCACAGGATTGCAGTCCGGAGCTGAAGCGGGAGCGGAGGAGCGGACACAATGACATTCAGGTTCTCGTGATCACACGCATTGGGGAGATGGTGTATATTAGGCCAGAATCAATCCATCCACGCGGTTCGAGCTGGGACGTAAGGATATAAGTCGAATGGTGGGTGTCTGGTGAAGGTGGTGGGAATTTCCCGTCGGAACAAGAGATCCGAATTCGCTCTGCCGGAACTGTGGCTAGTGATCTCCATATGTGGCGCAGTAACTCCGATAGTACATCCTAACGGACATTTCTCTATTACAGCGCGCACTACTCCGTTCAAAGGAACATCGAAAAAATTTGTCGTCTTCAATCCGCCCAGAACCTTTAACGTTTAGTGGCAATTCTATTTGAGCGATTTTATCTTTAATATCATCCCACCATGTCTTCAAATCACGCATCTCTCGACGCGGCGGCCACAGAGCGCAAAGCACGTCTAGCAAAGCTCTCAGCATTGAAACGAAAGCAACCGGAACCAGAGTCCCTGACAGAATCTCGTGCCGGTGATCATGAAATGACAGACGCAGTCCCAGATGTTACGACAACATTCCTCTCCGGACGAAATTACGATCCAGAAGCTCGCGGGCCGAAGTTGGGTTTTGAGCAGACTCCAACAGATGGGCAGATCACCTTGGAACAACAAGCTGCTGAAATAGCTAGAGCTACCGCGGAGCAAGCAAGGAAGGACGAGGAGGCAGACCAACCGATAGACCTTTTCCAACTACAACCGAAAAAGCCTAATTGGGATTTGAAGCGCGACTTGGATGAGAAGATGAAGATTCTTGATGTGCGGACGGACAACGCCATCGCAAAACTTGTACGGCAGCGCATCGAAAATGCACAACGTGCAGCCAAAGAGAGAGGGTCGAAAGGGGAATCAGGAGAGGAAGTTGGCATCGAGGGAGAAATGTTGGTTGAAGGGATTCATATGCGTGAAAGGGAAGAAGAGGACGAGGATGAATGAACGGTCTGAATGATACCCTGGAGGAAGTTATGGGCAGCTCTCAGGTTACATTAATTGACAGATTTGACCATCGTATTTGACTAGGGTTTACAGCATAAAAAGAGGTGTCGGAAGGCGTTCTGTATCAATTACATCATTAAATAGGATAATAATTCCAATGGGCTTATTGTACAGCGGTTTTAACATATTGATTACTGACGTCTCAACACGAACTTTCAATAGTAGCCTACCTACCCATGTTCATAGCTTGCGTCAATGCGAGACGCTTGCTGAAGGGACTAAGACTGCGGTTTCTTGGAGGCTGTGCGGCAGAATAATCAGGCTCGTACCCAGATCGTCTGCCAGAAGCACGGTTTTGTGAGGGCTCAGGCGGAGCTGCGTCCCTGGAACGTCTTCTGTGATGTGGAGTCAAAGAACGCCGCCCCCTTGCGATCTGATCACGATCTCTACTTCGAGATCTGTATTTCTGGCGACTATCTCGGGACAAATTTGCAGACCGTCCACGCTCAGCCGGGCTGGATTCCCGTCGTCTCCGCCGCGTGTTTCGGTCGCGTGCCCACTCGCGGGATCGCGAACGAGCTTTCTCACCAGACGAATAAGGCGAAACAGAACGCCCAGATGAAGAATCGCTATAATGTCTTTTCCTTGTCCTTGAATGGCGTGATCCTGTTCGGTCATCATCGCCATGTCGAGGAGGCGAACGTGATTGTGATCGACTGGTAGATATCGTTGAGATAGAACTCATAGAATGCGCTGATTCCGTCCGTGATCGCCTCGGTGACTGAACCCGACTCTCAACCCGGTCGAGCACATCATTGTCGCGTTTTCGGCCGCGCTCCTCTTCTCGTTTCGTTAACAGCTTGTCCGCTAGATCTTCTCTGTGGGCAATCAGTCAAGCGCTCCGGAAGTCGCAGCCGATCGAAAAGAATATGCCTAACTTACGTCCGTAAGAGGTCATTGGGAGTATCTGAGGAGAGTTTCGGCCTTAGCTTCGGATTTTGCAACTGCTGCGTGCGCGATGGTCGAGCCAAATATGGCCGTTCTTGGGCTGACGCTGTACATTCGTAGCTGTAGTGCCGTATAATGAAGTCAGAAATAGATACTTTATCGCATATATAGCAGATACTTATCTCGTTTCAAGCATTTCTGGCACAGAGTGCTCGCTGATGCCTTTGTAGGGCCTCTAAGGCCGGGAGCATTTCGATATCGATTATTCATTTCAAGTTGAGTACGAATACAACCAAAACAGTAAAAAAATAAGAAGAAACTATGCGAATAGCTAATGTTCTTATGGGAGATAATTATGCGCGCTGACAAGTACAGTAGTAATCATCCCAATAGCAATAACTAAGAGCAGTCCTCTTTCGCGGCTATCGAGGCTCAATCGGTATTAGACGCGCGTCTAACCACACCCGCCATCCGCCCACGAAAAACCACAGGCTGATCGCCGCCGCGCTCTCACACTGGCTCTCACTTGCTCCTGACGCTCCCTCCACCATACCCTTCCAGAGTCGCCATCTGGATATCCCATTCCGGAGGCCTACGGGTAGTTATTTGTATCTCCGTATTCACTGGGTACACAGGTGACCCTCGTGGATCAGCAACAGAGCACGTCTTTGTTACGGCTTTCCCGGTCGACCATCCTTTGTCTCTTTGAGTAGGAGAATCCTCTTCTCCCTGAATCATGAAATCGTCATCCTTCTGACCATCGTGTAAGACCAGTCCAGCTTACTTAGTCATTGTCTTTTCTTATCTACTTCCCTGTGAAATTGAAACTGTATTACCAACCCTCATTCGAAAAGCCCCATCGTCTCGCCCGCAGTCCACGGCACCGTTGCATATTTACTGGTCCTAACTCCTCAACAGCTTTCCTTATGGCGGACTTTCTTTTTCTGAGATATGTCGTCTTTCTTTTCGGGCTTGTCGTGTGAAGCGGGATCTCTTAGTGGCCTTACCTCGATTCGAGTTCTGGTTTCGTACATCTTCAACCCACAAGACCTCGAGTGCAGCCGTGCCATTACTATCACCGAGTATTCATCTTGATATTCATTTTCCTCCGCATACTGTTCCAATTAACCGAGAAAGAACCTTTCGTGTATCTCGAGGAACTATTTCATTTACTATGGCATCCGAAAGTCCCGCTACAGGCGAACATCGTCTTTCATTTGCAAAGGTATTTTCCCAATGCAAGGTTGTGTTGCGCTACATAATAACCAAGACCTCATGTATCTGACTTGCGTATAAGATTGCTGCTATGCCCGCACCATCGAAACCGAATGCTTCCGTTGCGACTGATGAAAGGAACGGTTTACAGCATTTTGAAATACATCCATCTCCTGATGCGCAAGGCTCCAAAGACAGTCTACCGAATCAGGACAGTTCAACCAACGCCCAACTTGATGAATCTAAGTCTGTCGACAGAGGTGTTGATGCGCTTAGCCAAGCCGTGCAAGATGCCCGCCTGACGACCAGAAACCCTCGGCAAAATTCTGAAGCCTCTGGTGATACCCATGAAAACGGGGGTCTCAAACGAGAAACTTCTTTTGAAGATGACCAGACCCATCTTTCGAGCTCTTCGACGAAACCCACTAGCTTTGATTCGAAAAGCATGGTTTCCGTGGCTACGTTCGCAATGGACGAGAAAGATTCTTTGCGACCAGATGACAGTGCTAGTGTACAGGCCATCGACGAAGAGGAATCTGTTTCCGGAGCTGCCTCAGGTGCCCCTAATTCTCTGACTGGCTCGGAATCTGGCGCTCGCGGATTCAGGGATGTTAGTATCCACAATCCAAGAGCGATTCTCCAAAACGCTGGGTCTGCGTATAATGATAGCATTCAAAGATCCAACGGTGCAATTAACCCAGATTCTGTTTCCAATAACTACGTCCTTCCCAGCTCTGGACCGTTTCAAGCTGAGAGAACCTTACATGGGTTCCCTCAAGACCCAGATGAGAAGCTTTTAGAGGCAATGAAGTCTCCAAAAGATCGTCTTTTAATTCTCCAGCTAGAGGACAAAGTCCGAAACTTCATTCAACATTCTAAGTAAGCTACCGGCAATTGATGCCCAGAAACATGCTCGTTCTAACACTGAACTACAGGGAGCAATCCTTGGAATTGCCACCATCGAATGCTTTTGGACGGCTTCTCGCGCATAAGCTGGGCGATTACTATCATTTGACCCATTTTGTGGATAACAATGTCACATCGGTTCGACTTCATAGAACACCATTTTGTCGACTGTAAGTGATGGATTCATTTATTCCCTCCAGGACGTATTTGGTCAAAGATGCTGACAAGTCCAACAGGCCAGCACCTCTGTCTGCTTTGGAACCCGCCAACAATACGCCCCCTCCTCCAGTACCAGCCATGAAAATCATGCGTCGAACAGATGGGGAACGACCTTCCACTGATGGTAGCACAACAGCAGGTTCTATTCCTGCGTCAGAGGCTGGCGACAGTGGAAATGAACGCGGTGGTTCCTCTGCTGGGACATCTGCCAAGGATAGATTAACATTAACCAGAGAAGAGCGAGAGGCCAAGTATCAGGAAGCTAGAGAGCGTATTTTCCGTGACTTCCCTGACTCGAAATCGTCGGATAATTCCAATGGCGATCAAAATGCCAATATGTCTCGTTCAAGTTCAACAAGTGGGCGCAAGAAGGCGCAGAGACAGAAGACTCCTCACGATGACAGTTTTGAAGCCAGGTCACAGTTCAATGCTTATTACCCAGGAATACATTATGCGCAGGGGCCGGCTCCGTGCAATGCCGCTATGAATGATCCTTCATATCCAAGTCAACCACCATATGTGGTAGGACCTGGCGTGACGCCTCCGGGTATGGGTTACGTGTCTAGTGGTCAAAATGGTGCCATGTACTCGGGACCCATGCATATGAATTCAATATCTCAATATCCTATGCCGGTTTCCCCTCAGATGTCGTCGAATGTCCCTTGGCAGGGTGGGAATGTACCTCAGCAGTCACCTTTCTCTGGATATGCATCCATGCATTCTCCGGCAATGATAAACCAACAGTCATCGGCAAAGTCGTCACCAGCGTTAAACAACTACGCTGTTCCGAATTCTATGTCATATCAACACACGCCTCCCAATTGGTCTTCTCCCGCGTACCATGGGAACTTCCCGCAACCAACTTATCGGAACCAACCCCCTGTTCATTGGCCGAATTACCCATCGCAGCCTATGGCATCTAACCCGACATCATATCCATATGCCCAATATCCAGGACAACCGTTGAATGTGGGCATGGGAATGCAGAATCCACATCCCGCTTCTTTTGCTAGATCTCCGTTCAATCCCCAGACACGTTCCTTTGTACCAGGTGGCAGTGGTCCAATGCCACGACATCCTGGCAAGGGCAATCAACCTGGTATATCCCACTATCCAGCAATACACCCTGGTGTGCAGCCCCAGTGGAATGGATTCTCGGACACTGGTAAGCATGCGGACGCACGTAACGCAGCTCGTGGAGTCTCTTTGAATACCAGAGACTCCATTGCGAAATGGGGCACACCATCCCATCTCCCTCCGAAACCGCCACCTTCAGAAGTCCCTTCTGGCTTTGAATTGAAGCCGCGGAATATCTCAATCTCGAGTGATTCTCACGCCGGGAATGCGCCTTCCGGTTCCAAGAACGGGCCACTTGTTGTCTCAGGTGGAACGAGCGTTCCATCGAGGCCTAACTAACGTCTTGCTTGTGAATAACGACCCCGTGGCTTCGAACGAACGGGGACAGCGGTGTGGTGATGTCCGTCTGTGCAGCTCTTTTAGCCATAAATTCGCTGTGCTGACTCTTACTTAAGGCATAGATGTGCTGTAGTAGGCCCGCATTCTAATTAGAAAGAAAAAGTATGGCAATTTAGGTACATATTGGTCTTATTTCTTACGTCTATGGCAACCGTGGACTGGGTTGCGTGGGTGTTTGGAGTGATATGAAGCCGTTGCTCAATATTACTGGTAGATTGATGGAATCGTGTTGCTAAGTAGATCAATCTAAAAATGTGAAGTAAATACCCAATGAGCACATACTCCACAACTCACCATCATCGCACTCGAGTTTCGAAGACGAAATTTGTTGAAATCTTCGTACATAGGCTATACAAGATAACATGGCATGGAAAGAAAGTCATACATGTGCGCAAGAATTTGGAGCTAGAATTACATGGTCATGACGGAAAACAAGTCATTGCTAAAAGACGAACAGTCACAATAATACCCACTTTTAGCTTAACAAATCTACCGTCTCTTCGTCTGAACCACCTCAGCCGCTTCTGACGCTGCCGGCTGTGTCTTTCCATCTTGAAGCTCTAACCGCCTTATTGCACCCTCCAAATCCTCAACGCCATCCTTACGAAACTGGGTCACTTTTCTGACATTCATTGTCGTGATTTCACCAAGGGTATCCAGGCCTTGAGCCCGTTGGCGCGCAACAGACCGGGCAGTCAGGTGGAATCGCATATCCTTCGGTCCGTCGACGAGTTCGAGGATGGCGCTGGGGGCTTGGTCCGCCTTCTTGGGTTCAACTCGCAATACTCGTGTATAGCCACCTGGGCGTTGCGCATAACGTTCACGGAGGGGGCCGAAGAGTTTGGGGAGGATATCATGCGGGGTCTTACATTTAATGTTAGTTGCGCATTCAAAATGGAGGTATATGGACGCCCAAAAAATCGAATCAAACATACGTAGAAAGTCGATAGCGCTGTTCTCCTGCTAGTCTCGGTGTTCTTCTTGCCCAGGGTAATCAATTTCTCTGCCAATCGTTGGGCCTCCTTGGCCTTGGGCCAAGTTGTTGTGATCGACTCGTGCTGGAAGAGAGATGTAACCAGATTCCGAAGCAATGCCTGACGGTGAGCTGAATCACGGCTGAGGTGACGGTATTTGTTTGCACTACCAGCCATGGTGCTTGTCTTTTGAGGCCGAAGCCGGGAATTTCACAGGTCTGCTTTGGCTCGGTTCCGTGTTGTGGGGTGGGAAAAGACTTGACAGCTTCGAATGGAAATTGAAATCGTGTTGAAATAGTCAATCGATTAACTGCCAGTTGTAAGACGGACCGCGGCGAGTTCTGGATGTTGTCGAGACCGGCTGAAGTGATGGCAGAAATTCGATTTCTGGGAGCCGGAGCCGCAACGGGCCAATCGGAGAGTGAGTTTCCGCTCCGGAACGCCGCAGATTCAGATATCTTGATTTTGTACAGAAGACATCTTTGTATACTTCTGCTAATCAGTTTGCCCTTGAGACGAGTTCCAAACCACTGCTATTTCAGGACGAGATTGAGCATAGAGATTAACTATAGTTTCATCTCGAGTGCCGCCGCTTCCATTATCTTGCAAGGACCGCCGCCAATTGCAGACAAGTTCAAAGCGCTATTCAGTCATACTAAAACTGAATCAAGATTGAATCTCAAAGTATACAAGAAGTAACTATCGTCCCAAACAACAGAGGATATGGGCTTCTTTACCGGCTTCGTACGTTGAACCAATTCCTTATCTACCCTTGATTAAATCAAAACAAACGACTAATCAATTCGCTAATAGTTCGCTGGGTTCGCCTTGACAACCTCAGTCCTCTACATCACAGTTCAAACACACCAGACGAACCGCATCAACCAACGCAATACCATCCGCGAACAAGTCCAAACCCTCAACTGGATCGCATCCCCCATAGGCGCATACGACCGCCGATTCATTCCCCAAGATCAAGATCTTAGGCGGAGTACGGAATATGGGGTATCTCGTCGAGAGCAGCCTACGATGAAGGATATGTTGAAGCATCGCTGGAATAAGGAGGTGGAGGCATTGGTGAGAAAGGCGCATGAGAGTCGGTGGGAGGATGCGCGGGAGACTGTTGCGGAAGGGTGGAATGCTGCGATGAAGTACGTGAAGAGAGAGTAAATATGGGTCGGTGGTTGTATTGGAGAGGGCGAGTTGAGCAGATGCTCTATGTATTATAGATACCCTTGTTATGAACAGCGTTATGATTACCTATATCCATGATCAGTTTCTATGTATGTGTGTTATTATACAGATGGGCCACTACCAGAAGAGCAAGCTTCCCTTATAAGCAGCAGCCTATTTCAATGAGGATATGTCTATGCGATAAAGAGGGCAGCCGTACGTCTGGATGGAGAGGCTCCGAGACAACAGTCTGGGCGATGCACTCCTTGAATGCAATTATAACTCTGTCCCGGCATTGGTAGTGGACGGCGCCGTCGTAGTAGTTGTCATGCTGTCAGTGTCACTCCAAATATCCTTGCTTTCTTTCTCCACGGCACGCATAGCCTGAGCAACTTCTTCAAGTTTGGTCACCACGTCCAACACACCGTTGTTGACTCGATCAAAGTACCGGTCATTGGCTTCCCGCCTCTCACGTGCCAAGAGAATATCTCGTTCAGTCTCTTCATCCAGGTTCCGATGGTTAATATCCTCTGCTGTAACGTTCGGATTCCGAGACTGCCCTTGCAACGATGGACGGCGCTCCGATGTGTCGACCACTTCATCTGCCTCGCTCCGAGCCCACGCCTGCGCGAGCGTCAGCTGTTTCCGTCGCAGATCCTCCAATGCCTCTGAGTGCTTTTCCCCGAAAACATGTTCCCGAGTCACGGCGCTTAACTCAACCTCAGAAAGGGCACTCTGCATTTCCTGCCAGATCGCATCTGAGCTATCCACTTCGCCTTTTGACTGCGCGCGCGACCTGAATGGTGACAGCGAATGGCTTTGAGTGCTGAAGGAATCATGAGCATGAGGGATGCGACTGCGCTGCAATGGTGGAGGCTGGCTGGCTCCTCGAGATCCTACATTCGACGGTGGCTGAGCAAGTGATAGATTGGATGCGTTGTGAGACGGAGGGCCTTGAAACAGAGATGGCGGTGGGAGACGCTGAGAGCTTATTTTCCTCAAATGGTGAGGACTGTCTTTTGATGTGCTCGCCATATCTTGACATTTAATATGGAAGGATGTCTTGTACTCCACGCTGTCTCTTATCGTCAACTGATAAAAGGGGAGGACATGTTATCGATAAGAACGGTTTACATATTTATCCGGTCCGGACTCGCTTAGCGGGGCCTTAGGGCGAACGGCGCACAGGAGAACATTTTCGGCTCTCGAGTGCCTTTAGCGAGACCCTTCGACATTCGACCATTTCGACAACCAACCCATCAGGCCTTTAGGCGATATCTTTTCAGTCGGTACGTACAGGTCGTTATTGTTGTTGTCGCGGTCGTGGGTTTGCCAGTTTTTGAGCTCGAATTTGGATATGCCAAAATGGCTGGATTTCGAAATGTCATGGGGCAAAACCCACACCACGACAAACGCTGCCCTCTCTCCCCGGAGATCTCTATCAACATACGAGCCACCAGACAAAATTCTAACAGTTCTCGATTCTCACAGTTGACCGTCCGTTCGAACATAATACGCCAAGATGGGTAAGGGCCAGCCTAGAGGACTCAACGCCGCGCGCAAGCTCGCGACCACCCGCCGTGACAACCGCTGGGCCGACTTGCACTACAAGAAGCGCCTTCTCGGAACCGCCTACAAGTCGTCGCCCTTCGGTGGTGCCTCCCACGCCAAGGGTATCGTCCTTGAAAAGGTCGGTGTTGAGGCCAAGCAGCCCAACTCCGCCATTCGGAAGTGTGTCAAGGTCCAGTTGATCAAGAACGGCAAGAAGGTCACCGCTTTCGGTGGGTAATCTTTTTTCTTTTTTTTCCTCTATGTGTCATGGTTGGGAGTATTACGAGATAAGTGCTGAGGCAAGATATGGAGAGTGAAAGGGTGGAAGCATAACGGGGAACCATGGCGCATCTCAGTCGATACTTGGTGATATATGCTGACTCTGTGATTCAACAGTTCCCAACGACGGTTGCCTTAACTTCATCGATGAGAACGACGAGGTCCTCCTTGCCGGTTTCGGTCGTAAGGGTAAGGCCAAGGGTGATATTCCCGGTGTTCGTTTCAAGGTCGTCAAGGTCTCTGGTGTCGGTCTGCTCGCTCTCTGGAAGGAGAAGAAGGAGAAGCCCCGTTCGTAAGGAATTTGGGTGTGGATGCGACGGGAAAACGAGGGGCCCATGCTATGGAAAAAGGAATCGGAGCAATGAATTAAGTCATGAGATCTGTCCGATCTATGGTCTGGAAATTATAATGGTTCAGGACGAATGACACTGCAGAACTATTGTGCAGCTACTACGATTGATACTCATAAAAAGATGGCGCCATGATTGTTTTTTTCTTTGGGAAAGGGGCCCTGAATTAACATTTCTTTTTCTTTTCAATCGTGCACCGGTGTCGGTCCTAGACTTGGTAGTTGTAAGACCTGGGATCCATGAGATTCATTGTACTCGTGTCCTAACAAGTTCTATTCTACGGAGTATACGCATCCAAATTGCGGTGGATGTTCTATATCTGGGTATCGTCACTTCATATTCATACTGTCATCCGTATTGGAATCATCGAGATCTATTCATTAAAAAAATAGCGCCATTTTCATTGTCCTTTTTCATATGCCTTCCTTGTCCGCAATATGATTAGAAGTGAATGTCTTCCTTGCGATAGTGATCGGACACGATACGGTAGAGATAAGATGGCGCATGGCCGCCCCTGTAAAGTCAAGTCAGTTATACTTGTCCTCCGAAGATCTAGAAAAGAAGAAACCCACAAATTGGTAATGTAAAGATCGACCAACTCAGCAGGAACATAGTCATACAGCGGATTCTGGACATCAATCTGGTCAACCAGATCACCGTCCTCGTATCCAATCACCTTGCTGGCGTCTCCATACTCGATCAATGACTCGAAGTCAAACGGGTACACCGGGCTGAGCTTGTACACGCCACTGACCACCACGACTGGGGTTTGGTGCACCTTTGCTGCACGGGCAATGACTCGAGTGCCTGCTGCCGCGACAAGTCCACCGTTAGCCAGGACAGAGTGCGTACCCAGGATAACCTTGTTGACGCGAGACATGAGGGCAAAGACGGCCGAGTCGGGAATCAGAATAACAGTGATGCCCATGGCGATGAGTGGTTTCTGGAATGATTCGGTGCTTAGGGTCTCCTCATCATTGGCACTGGCCCCACTGACAGTCGAATGCGTAGCCTCATGATTATTTGGGAACGACTCGGCAATTATAACAGTGAAGCGCCGCTTGGCCGCGGCCTTGAGAAGGAATTTCTGAACAGTAGTCGAAGAAGTATGAGTGAGGATGATTTCGTTGGAATGGATGTGGTCGAGCGCATAGGCCGAGATTTGATCGTCGACTTGCCCCAGCTCATCGATAATCTCATTGATTCCTTCCATAACTTCTGCGCGGATGTCCTTGCTAGGGCCAGGCACTCTGCCGGAGGGGGAGGCTGACGAGGGGGTACCAGGGAGCGAGGGTTCGGGCTCTGGGTGAGAAAGAAGGCTGAACATGGATGTCAATGAAGTTCTGGCAGTCGATCCATCGAGACGAGTAGATGGAACATCTGAAGCATCTGAAGAGAATATGAGTCAGTTTTGTATCTTTCATGAGAAAGGTTACAGCGCAACCGACCATCAGGCACACGAGGGGTCTGCGGTTGACTCTCCGAGCCAGCTTCACTTAGGTTGAAATCCGCCTCTCTGTCATCTTCTGCCTCGTCGCGAATCAGACCCAAGACTCGTCGAACGATATTGCCCACCACCATCTCTCGCGGTTGCGCGGCCACGAGACGCCTTCCCACACTCTGTACCCTCTCGATCAACTTGACCGCATCCGTAGTCCGACAAGCCGAAATAACACGAAGGAGGAGGTAAGCCGTAGCAGTTGCGCATGATCTCGAATGACGAATTTGTCTTCGCTTGAGCAGTCTAGTGGGGTGCAAGGTTAGCAGAGGGGCTCTAGTAGAGCAATACATTGGGAAACGCACGAGATCAAATTGTCAATGGAAGTATCGATCTGGTTCGTCTTTAGCGACTTAAGAAACGACGCCAAACCAGGCGTCAGGGCCAGCGACGTGGAGGGCATTTTGTATGTAGTTCTGTGAGTTCTTTGTGATGAGTCTTAATGCAGCCCCCGCAGCCCACGAACACCGTCAGAGAGCATACCAAGCAGTTTCAACTGAATGCCACTCAAAAAACCCCGAGTAAAACGGATCCCTACAGCAGTCTTTTTCTTTATCCAGCTGCTGTGGTGAGAATCGCCGTAGCTGTGTGGTGTGTTGCAGTGGTATGAGTCGGAGGCTCAATCATTTTTGTTCCGCCCGCCTACAAGGACCACTGACGACTTGCCCCCACACCGTTCTCTCTCTGTTACTACTACTGTTTTGCTGGCATCATCATTTCCGACTCGGGCAGTTGTATACCTTTTCTTCACCATTTTTGCTTCTTTATAACTACCGCTGTTATAATCCGTCTATGATCCCTATTCTGGATGCTCTTCTGCCCAGTCGCTAGGTAGTCGCAGCAAACAATTACAGCAAACAGCGTCGCGGTGGTGGTTCCCGAGGAACTGTCCGGGTTGTCGAGACTGGCGCATTGAGGTTGGTATCGCAATGCCCTTTTGATTTTCTCTTTTTGTTTTATTCTACACCCCCTGCCCTGGTACCCTGTCATGATCTGCTATTACCCCGGTTAAAATTGATAAGATCAATCAGACGGTGAAACCTCGTGGCTGGAACTTCGCTGACGGTTAGCCTCTTTTCCGCGCTCTCATTTTCTCTAGACACCTGCGCCAGCCGTGACGTCCATGGGCCGTGCTGGAAGATGAACTCGTTGAATATCCTTTCGTCTCGAGTCATTGGCCAGTCTTCCAATTCGAATCGCATCCGTCAACGTTCCCGATCGCAAGGAGACAACGTCCCACCATCCAAGAGTCCGCCGGACGATGTCGGAAAGCACCGGTCCTACAGCGATGATGAGGTTTCTTCGAATAACATTCTGGAAAAGCAGGATGGCGACATATCCGAATCGACCGATGACATAGCCGATACTGTTGGGAGTCCTGTATTAAACGAGAAGTCGCCGTTACTGCTACGCGAATTCAAGAAAGACGGTCCATTAGCTGCGAGAAGCACTACGGGATCAATTGCGCAGCGTATATTTGATGCGATTACGGAAACTATTAAGTTTATTCTATCTACTTTGGCGGCTCCAGGAGTCTTTGCGGCGCAATGTTTCCGAGACGATGACGGTCACTATTCCCCCATGGCTCCGGTACGAAAGCTCCGACGATCCATCGCAAGAGGCTCGCATAGAAAGAGGACGAGTAAAGGCGGAGGCAAACAAGGAGATGTGCGCAAGCGTCGCAGTACACGAAAATCCAAGAGCCATATCCCACGAGAGTCGATCGCGTCGAATACTTCTGAATCGGAAGGGAGTGTAGTGAAGAGTCTCACTTCTAGCGGCAAGAGCCGGTCGTCTACTAAAGCGAACAATTCAGATCAAGCTTTGGAGGGCCCCCGTCGATCAATTCGGATCAAATTGCACAACGAAGAAACCTTGCAGCGACAAAGACAACGTCGGAGTCAGAGCGCCGATCTGCGGCAGCCATCGCATGATGACGGTTCCCGGGCAGGGTCCGTCAGTCTAGATAGTATCAAGTCGCCCACATCTCCATCGTCTTCCGTTCATCGCATTACCAAGTACCCACATGCACCCGCTCCCCCACGACCGCTGATTCCTCCACGTCTGCCTTCGTACACTGCGGCTCCACGCAATGCCAAAATTCCGCAGAAGACTCTTGTTCTGGATCTCGACGAAACCCTCATACACTCACTGGCCAAAGGCGGCCGCATGTCTAGCGGTCACATGGTCGAGGTCAAACTGTCAGCACCCATGACCACCGCTCTCACGCCAGGTGGACCGCCCACGATGCTAGGACCGCAGCACCCTATTCTCTACTACGTCCACAAACGACCTCATTGTGATGATTTTTTGCGCAAGGTCTGCAAGTGGTTCAAACTGGTGGTCTTCACAGCCAGTGTCCAGGAATACGCCGATCCGGTCATTGACTGGCTGGAACAAGAGCGGAAGTATTTCCAGGCGCGGTATTACCGTCAACATTGTACGTTTCGGAACGGGGCGTATATCAAAGATCTGAGCGCTGTGGAGCCGGACTTGAGCAAGGTGATGATCTTGGATAACAGTCCTATGAGCTATATTTTCCACGAGGGTACGTTCCCTCCCAATTCCTTGCGATACAACATGCAAGCTAACATAACTAGATAACGCCATTCCAATTGAAGGTTGGATCAACGACCCAACAGATAACGGCCTACTTCACCTGATCCCGATGCTAGAAGCATTACAATACGTGACCGACGTCCGCGCCCTTCTTGCATTGCGCAGGGGGGAAGCAGAGGCATGATAACCGCGCGTGATTGTTTATTTGTCCCTTTTCTGTAAAGATGGTTGGAAAAGAGCCATGATCGTATCATTTTATACCATACCCCCGGCTCACCATGCCCTCTCTGGTTATTATTAGTTTTGCTGCTGCTTTTATATTCCTTGTAATAAGTTGACCTTTTCTTTTTCTTTTTT